TAAAAGAATAGATATATTAGTAGGAAACGGCCTAGATAAGTAAATTCGAAGCGGAATAAAAGAAATAATATACTAGCCTGCCCTTCGTTAGTAAATCTAGATAGCTACGCTAGTACTACGTAAGCTACGTAAGCTACGCGAGGTAAAGTACGACGCGATCGGAGCTACTTTACCTCGTTAACCTATTATATTACGTAGTATTACGTAGTATCTCGGCCGTCTTTAAGCGACTCTATTATCTAAGGTATTCCTTTAATATATTTTATAATTTAGCCTTCTATATTAAGCTATTAATTTAACCTTTTCTATCCTTAAGGTTAGATAGGTAGTAAGACGTAAAGCGGTTATAAAGGTAGTACTCGTTTCTATCTTCGGTTCTTAATCGTATCGAAGCGGCTTAATTATAAGAGTACTATCGCTTTCCTAGCGTATCGCCGGGACTATTTAGATCGGGAGGTAGCTTATAGTAGGCTTTAGCCGTAATACCGTCCTCGAAGCCGGCTTTAACGATAAGCTACTCTTAATTAACCTAGAAATCTATTAACTAGCTATAGCGACGGGGTTTAAAAGGAGTATAAGAAATATACCTATAATAGCTTCGTTTAAAAGCATTCCTAAACCTTAGCGATAATTATTATATCCTTCGCGGTAATCTTTTTAAAGCTAATAAAATAAGACGCTATATTAATTCGCTATAGATAATTATTTAGGGTAGGGGATAACGGGGGTATGTAAAATGTTATTATAAAGGTAGAGTATTTATAGCTAGGCTTTAGAGCGCTTACGGTTATTTTAGCTATAGCCGCGGTATATTTTACTTATAGTAGGTATATATTTTCGTTAGCGCTTTAACTACCTAAGCCTACTCTAGCCTTTACCTAGGGACCGAGCGATTTCCTAGGAAGTCGTATATAGGAAAGCTATAACCTATCCCTTGCTTTATCCTAGAATTAATGCCTAATAATTAGCCTATGCTTTAATAGCCTAAATAAAGCCTATAATAATCCATGTAACGGGATAAAGAAGGTAACGCTTCATTAAATGTTAGCTTAGTCCGTATACCTATTAATATAGTTATCCGTAATAGCGTAAATATCGCCGACCGAATATATAACGCGCTATACCGACTCTTCTTATTAATTACTATCGCTAAATATACTTTCTCGTTACGATGGATTAATACTAATTAAATATTATTCGGGATTACCTTTTAAGCCGTACGTTATTAAACGTAATCGTTTAAAATCCTATCGAATTCGATATAGTTAACCGTAAAGGTAAATACGAACTACTTATTCCTTATCGATTATTTTAATATATACCTAGATCTCTAAACCATTATACTTGCGCTTTTTTTTATATTCCTTAACTACCTAGCCTCCCGCTATCTACCTTCCTAAACAAGCCATAATAACCTGCGTTAAAATGTCTTTAATCTTATTCCGGTATTCGCTTTTAATACCGTTTACCTTAACCGAATTAAGCCTCTTTTAAATGCCGTCCTTACTTACCGATCCGATATCGAAATCTAGGAATAAGTCTACTACGTCGTTACCGAATCTACCCCTCCGCGAAAACCCGTCTCCTCCTTCCTATAAATACCATCGGTATATAAAATAAGTAGCTTTATAAATTCCTCTAAATTACGCGTTAATATAGATAAAGTCCTTAGAGATAAACTTAGCGTTATATACGTCGATATTCCGAATTTTTACGAAGCCCTTTTCGGTAATATTCTAAACCTCGAGGTAATATCTATAGATATCTTCTAGGAATATATTAATAAGATACTACTACGTTATAAAGAAGGTCGTTAGATTAAATGGTTAAAGGATGTTAATTAAAACGACGTTATTACCTAGCTAGCCGATTTATATAATTAAATTATCCGGTAGGCGTAGAATTATAGGCCGAAAATAATGCGGAAGCCGTTAGCTTACCCTAATAAACCGCTTTATAGCTCGGTTACGAAGCGGAAACCCGATTTTATCTTTATAGATAACCCGACGACAAAGGACGATTAGTTATATATCTTAATACCTAAGGAACTAAAGAGTAATCCTAAAGAAGATATAGATTCTAAGGCGCGGCTTACTTTAGGAAGATTCGCGAAAGAAGTATTTACTTCTTAACCTACTCGCCGCTTTATTTTAACCTTTACCTTATATAGACGTTAAATACGGCTTTAGGAATTCGACCGGCTTAGCGCTATCGCATCTAAGAAATTCGATATTTATAACATAAAGTAGCTATTTATATTAACTATCCTTAGTTTCCTTTAAATAAACGATTAATCGCTCGGCTTCGACCTTACTATAATGAAATTAGATTACTATTAATATATCGATATTAAGCGAAATAATACGATAAAGCGCATTATAATCGATAGTCTTATAAGACGGATACTAAGTATAATAGGCCGTATAACTACCTGTTAGAAAGCGTACCCCGAAGGAGATAAGATAGTACCGCTTATTATTAAGGACTTATAGTAATTTCTAGAACGTAACGACGAAGGTAGATTACTTAAAGTAATAATAAAGAAACGCGTAAAGAATATCGCGCGGTATTACGCCTATACGACGGTTTATATAGGATATAATAACGACGATATTTAAGGCTATATTCGTAAAGGATTAAACGTTATAAAAGCTAATAACTATAACTAAGAGCGCCTAGCCTAGTTTTCTCGATTACGCTTAAGTTCTACGAGCCTTAAACGCTTATCCTATTAAGTTAGCGCCCCTCTCCCGCCCGGTAAGAGGTCCCGTTTAGGTTCGGGTTCGGCGTTTCCTATAAAACCTAAAAGTCTACTCCCGAACCGGGTTTACCGACGCATTATTTTACGCGATTACGGGAGGCTAATCTATAAGGTAAACTTATAAGTAGCCTTACTTAAGGCGTTAAAAGGATATATTAAAGGATACGAGTCTTTATATAAAGCTAGTATTCTTTATCGGGATATCTTAATTAATAATCTTATAATTAATAAGGATAACGAGAACCCTTCTTAGCCTTCGTTTTTAATTAATCTCGATCTCGTTATTAAAACCGATCGATTATAAGCATTAGGTACTAAAGAAATAACCGGCACGAGGGCTTTTATGGTAATCGGGATCCTCTCCGGCGACGACTATTCCTTTATAGATAACCTCGAGTCCTTTTTTTAGGTTCTCTTTTGGATTTATATCTATTATAACGGATAGGGTAATAGCTAAAGTATTCCTCGATATGATAAGTAGAATTATATGGATATAGAAGAGCTTGCTACCTTAAAGCGAGGAATAATAACTAAAAAGGCCTTCCATAAAACTATATCGGTATACTTTACTCCGTATTATTAGTCGCTAATCCCTTGCGTAATTAAATTACGCGATATAGTATTTCCTAACGGTTAAAGTTAGGAATAAGAAGATAAATTACTATATTTACGGATGCGGGAAATTCTTTACGAAGCCTAAATTAATCCGTTAGTAGTAGTAGTAGATTAATAAACTTAAGTTTATTCTTTTGCCGCGACTAGGGGTAGTTAGGGTAGCGTAACTTTAAACGTAAGTACGAAGGTAATAATACGAAGGTAATACTACCTTATTTAAAATATATAAAGAGAAGTAACGTTAAGCGTCGGATAATATAACTACTAACGCGACGACGTACTTTAATGCCGACTTATTTAGGAAACTAACGGAGTCGATAATCCTTTATAAATATAATTAGATTTATCTTATAGCCGCGGTATAGCTAACCCCGATAAGGAAAACATACTACTATTATAAAGTCTTATTAGCCTCGAAATCTAGGATTTAAGTAATACGATCCTAGATATTAAGAGTTTCGACTATTATAATGATACGGTAGAACTAAGCTACGTAGCCTTTTAGATATATATTTATATAGGTCTCGTATTTATCTTTTCATCGATTAAACTTAAACTTATAGATATTAGGATCTATAGCTCTTTATTCGTTTCTTATTATGCCTTTATTCGCTATTTCCATCTATTTCTATTAGTTTTTCCTTTTCCTAGCTACCGTTTTTAGCTAGCCGATTAGCTAATTATAGTTATTTATAGCTATGATTTAGTTCGATCGGCATTAGGCTATGGTAGTACTCCTAAGACCCGTCGGAAGGTCCTCCCGGTACTAGGTAAGCGCTTCGTACGTATAGCTAATATACGGTAAGCGAAAAGGTCGTTAAAAGATAGGATCGTATATAAGGACGAGGCAAGCAACGAGGAGGTACCTAACGAGTAAGAAACGGCGTAGAAAACGGCTAAAAACGAGGGATCGTAAATAGAGGATTATATTAAGGTAGTAACGCCGTAATCGAAGGGTTTTAATTAGTTTTAATAATCTAAATAGCTTTAATTACTTACGTAGTAGTAATAATAGTAAGGGTTTTTTAGGTAGTCCGCGAAGGGGTAGTCCGTAGAAAGGGATCAAGCTTACATACCAAAGTCTATTTTATATTAAACGGTCTTTTTAGCGTAATTACGGTAATACGTATTTAGAAATTATGTAAGTTTATTTATATTAGGTTATAAAAAGCGGGTCTTATTAAGCCAGACTTAGGTTTAGGCTTAGGCTAAAAGCGGCGTGGCTTAGGTTGGATTTCCATTCCGATTCTGGATAGTAAAACCGATCTTGGAGGTTCCAGGTTCGACGTTGCTTCGCCATATGGGATCGTCATATCATCAGTACGCTAATGCTCCACCCCAGGGCACGCCTGCACGTATGTACATATGTACGTACACCCATGTGCACAGTACGTGCTGTGTCGTCTCGTCTCAGGAACGGGCATCTTATTTGGTCGTCGACCGTAAAGCTGTCTGTCAGGGGGGAGCGGCCGAGGCATGGTATGGCCCGAGGCTCTGGACATGCGTATATGTATATGTACGCACATACGTGTCGATGTCCATACGCACGATACGCCGCATCACTGAGATCGCGAGAGGGAGAAGGGGGGGGGGACGAGCTACCATAGGCCAGCCTAGCTTCTCTGCCAGGCCATGGGGGTGCATACTCATATATTGTATTGTTTCCTTTCCGGCGCGCGCACGGTCTATTTATTCATTGTCCTATGTGTTGCATGCTCCGTAGATGCATCCACGCGCGCGCGCACACTTCAAGGTTTTTTTCTTTCTTGTCCTTCTCATGACTGGCCCGAACGGGGAAACGGGCATGGGGACGAGAGTCCTAGAGCAGGACGAGGCGACACGGCAATTTCTCCCCGGAGCCCGAGGAGGGAATAGCTCTTCTTCCCCATCCTACCCTCGGAATCGGACGGAGTTTTCCCCTCTCTCTCTCTCTCTCTCTCTCTCTCTCTCTCTCTCTCTCTCTCTCTCTCTCTCTCTCTCTCTCTTCTTCCTTTGTGTCTATCCTATCACTCCCGGTGTATCCGTGCCGCTTTCTTCGCTGTCGTTGACGGGCCTGGTGGCTGCTTGATGTCTGAGGATCCCCGAATCTTGACAGCGGATCTTTTACTCGGTTAGGAATAGGTGAGGGGGGATGCGATGGGACGGGATGTCTCTGGACGGAGCGGTGGAGGAAAGCCGCGGCGTCTATCTATGCTCGACGGGTCGCATAGCCATGCGAACAGCGACTTGTTTCTCATCTACCGCGGGCTTCGATATTACGGCCGTCTCTCTACGTACATACGCAACGCTATCCATGTGTATGTGGGTATATAGTTCTGTTGCTCGGCGTCATGTTGTATGCGCGTTTGTATGCATGTGGGTTGTATCCTGCATTTGTTTTATTGCTCTTCATGGATGCAGGGGGGAAGCAAGTGTATATACCTAGTTTACGGACATACGGACACATGCACACGCACATACAGAACGACTTTATTATCTTATTACGATTATCGAAAAAGGGGTTCGACTTCACCGCGGGGCGTAGAAACGGTTAGACGTAATATGGATTTGTATACCACATACCTGTACACAGTCTTAGAGACAGGGGAAACCCTTGACCACTTCTACCCTTGGCGCGTGCCCATACCTAGGTACCTACCTATGTAGGTATGCAGCGCATGCAGGCGGACGAAGAATTGGGATAGGACTTCGGCTGATGTTGCTACGTAGGAGGTAGTAAGGTAAGCGTTGCGGAACGGACCATCTCAACTCTGCTACGACCAGGATGTGACTCGGCGATGGTGGCTTTCGTATTGGCCTGCCCTTTCATTGGTTTCGGCATACCTGACACCGTCGTCTGAGAAGAACAGCAGAACCGGTACGTAGGCCACCAGAGAAAGCCTGTTTCTACGTCGTATGGACACAGTCCCGGACCTAGCGATGACGACGAGATGGTTCCCGCTTACCGACCCCGGGAACCGGATGGGTCGACTACGATGCCTCTCCAAGATCTTGGACGTATCGTACGAAGCACACAGTCGGTCCCATGTAACGACATACGTGTATGTGCCTGTGTCTCTCTGTAGATGCTCAGCACTCCGGGAATTCTACTTGGACAGCCAGTCGCAAGTATGTACTTATATGCACATGCCTACACGCATACGTACCTACGTCGCAGGGCTTGCTTGAATGCCGGCATGGGTCAGATAGGCATGTAGTGTGTGTGTGTGTGTGTGTGTGTGTGCGCATGCAGGTATGCGTGAGCACGCACAGGTTTCATGAAACCAACAACGGCAACCCGGGGAGCTGGTCAGCGCAGCACAAGGCGGCGCAAGGCGGCACGTCGTAGAGGCTCGGAGAGCAGCGAGGGGAGGAGAGGCGAGGGGACGGTAAAAGTGATAGCAGACGTGATAGTGAGCGGCGTGTTGCCCGTCACACCTCGCCAAGGCAAGGCTTCGGCATTCAGGACGGGGCTCGTCAGCGAGGATGAGAAACAGGCACCAGCAGGACTGGTCCAAGTCCTATTCTATAAGCGGCTCCAATCAAAGAGAGGGAGAGAACAAGAAGAGAGAGGGGGGGGGGAAGGGGGGCTCTCGTTCCTTGCCCTACTCTCCCGCCTGGACGGGACGACTGTTACAATGTGTGATGATGGACAGGGCATGGGAAGGAAACCCCCATCGGGGCCGTCGCAGGATTCCATCTATAATTCCATCTATATGTACATGCACACTCGTATGTAGGGGTACTGTACGCCCACAGCCAGAGGAGGCCACCTTCGGAACACCCCCATCTGCTGGCGTCTACCTGTCAACGGCCCAAGCACCGGCCTCCTCTCTCCCCTGGCCTCCGGACACCGCTGATTCCGTCTCGGGATCCGGGACCAACCAGGCAAATTCCATATAGAATTACCACCTATTTATCGCTTCCAAGCTACCTAGACAATGGTCAGTTCTTTAGCGGCGGCGAGTATCATCAGACCACCACGCCGCTGGGGTGCGCGCGCGAACGGTCCGGGGGAGGAGGGACGGGGACAGGGACGAGGACGGAGGAAGGGTCGCGGCAATCTCCACACACGCACGTATGCCATGTACATATATGTCCGCACGTATGGACCGAACTTGCCTCTGGTATGTACTAGGTATGGCGTGTAGGTATACTAGGTAGTATGTTCTAAGTGTGCTCTCTCTCTCGTGGATATGGAGCAGCCAAGTGTCGAAGGATGAGTTTATTTCGGGGTTCTTCAGGCACGACAGCTGCAGGCGTCGAGTTATCGTACGTTGTTTTCTTTCCTTCTCGCGGCGAGGCTTCTCCTAATCAATACGGAGCTTGGCGTGTAAGTGGTTAAGACGGCTTTGCAATATGGCCATTACACGCCTGCTGCACCCAAGGCGCCTATGCGTGTATTGCCTGCTGCCTCCCCCCTCCCTTGATATATATGTAGTTGCTCGCGGCGGATACCGTATCCTCTTCCTCCTGTCAACGCATGCAAAACGGCGTGGGTATGAAGCACCCCTTTCCCATCTGGGTTTTATTCGCAGCGAGAGAAAGGGGGAGGAGGGGGAGTGACACCGATGATTTCTCGTGTCGCTATGCCGTTTTACCTCGCAGCCTCAATCCTTGGCGTGTTCTATCGGCAACGGTGTTGGCGGCGTCGGCGCGAATGCACAGGTAGGTAAGTAAGTACGTGTATGCGCAAGGTAGGAGAGGGAGGAGGTGGAAGAGGAGGGGGAGGATGGATGGATGGATGGATGGATGGATGGATGGATGGACTCGAATCCCGGGTTACGCGAATGTGTAATATGAGTAAAGGTATCCATGTACGTACACATGGGGGTACCTCAGGCAGGGTTCATTTGACGCTTCGAGGCGTCCAAGCCGCGGGGTTGCATCGATACTACGTTGGGTACCTCCAGGGAGGTACCTAGGTGGGTACCTACCCGGTACCTTCGTTGCGCGCGTGTACCTGGACTTGCGCCCTTCTACCATCCGGCCGAGAGAGATTGCAAAAAAAACGACGGCACTTGAGTCAGTTCCAAGTTTGCCTGCTAGTATTTAGTATTAGCGTGGATCGCCGCCGCCACGACGAGCGAGGCAGCCCAGCGGGGGGGTACCCGACACATACTACTACGCAGTACAGGGTACCTAGGTACGTACGTAGACGGGCACGTATTACGGTCCAACCCGAGCAGGCTATAGGTACCTACCTACCTAGGTATCTACCTCTTGCCTTCTACTGGAAGGGAATCAACAACCTGTGGCTGCTTTTCGGTACCTGAGCGATACTTGGCACCGCTTCAGGCGCCTGGCTACGGGTTCCCCCCCTTTAGGAGAGGAGTCCGGCTACGGACCGCGTAGTAGTAGGAGAAATTGCAAGTAGATACGGGTAATTCCCTGGTAGCGGCGCCGTCCTGCAATGAAGCGGCACCACAGCACCGGAAAAGTGCTGGCGGGTGTTTGAAAGTGCTGCCAGATGCACATGGATCTGCCGTTGGCGGACAAGGCTGGCACACCGTTCGGAATGGAAGAAATCGCCAGATAGGTGCGCGCTCAACCCCCAGGCGAAATGAGAGAATTTCCCTGCACACCTCCTTATTTTTGTTCTCGTTGCTCTTTCTTTTTTCCTTTTTTTCCCTTTCCCCTTCGCTGATCTCCTCGATATATGTATGTATACTACGATAGTATACACGCACGCACCTAGGCGGCCTAGGCACATACGCGATGTAGAGGCAGAATCGGACGAGGTGGGAGGTGGAATGTGTGGCGCCTGGGGGTGTCGATGTTAGACGTTAGCGTGCACGGGAGAGGTAAGTAGGTATAGGTAGGTAGTATTCCCTCTTCCCACACGATTTGACACCTCACGGCACACGTGCATATTCTATAATCGAGACCTAGCGCGCGTACATACTCATACAGCAGGGAGTGCGTGGTTATCGTGATCATAGAGCTTTGGGGGGGGGATCAAGATAGGGAGGCTAGCGGGAAGCCTTCTTTAGGGGCTGCCTTGCTTCCTTCTGCGGAGGTATCATCCACAGTTACGGGGTGATACTGCCCCAATCCAGGCAACCTAAGACGTGGAATAACTATATGGAATAATAGTAACATCAACAACAATAATAATATTTCTTCTTCTTCTTCTTATTATTATGAATTATCTTCTCTTAACGCGCAAGGCGGACTGCCTCCCCTAGCCTTGCTCTGCTAGGCACATTCGCGCATTGCTGACATATTGGTGGAATATGAGAGCCTTCTTCGCCTTGAGCACATGCCTCCTGCTCGCAGCCGTGGCACGCACGTTGCGTATGCAAATATGCATGTACCGAGCAAAGGCCGTCCGTAGGTATACATTTCGACGTGAGGGTGGGCAGACAGGCTGGCAGACAAAACACAGCGTACCTGCATAGACACATCCGACATTCGTCTACGGGGAATCTGAATAGCATTAGTAACATATTAGCTCAACGGGTTCCTCGCAACGGTGCGTCAGAGGCACTGGAAACTACCTACCTTAGGTAGTCCGTTCGGAGGTACCTGGCCTTAGATGGTTAGGTGGGTGGTAAGAGGAAGTACCTCGCGTGTGCCTGTACATTCGCATCCGTTCACGATAACCGTCAACCTTGACTATACCCATCCTTCCGTCTCAACAACCCCCCCGTCCTTCTTTTTATTTCGTGACATCTGGTTATATTAGTATTATTATTCCTCTTCTTCTGATTATCCCCGCCCCCCTCACCTCCTGGCTCCTCTCTCTCCCCCGTCTCTGTTTACTCGCTACGCCCGGCAGTCGGTTTGCCATCTGAGACAAGACAATTCTACTGGTTTAATTACCTCGATCGCTTTGCGGCAGCGCCCTCGTCCCCATTCGTCATTGCACCTGTGCCCTCTAAATTAACCAGCCCGGTAGCTTGCCGTCCAGCCCATCTCGACCTGCACCGGCGATTGGATCGTCGTACCCCAATGGTTCAGGGCCACCAGCCGCCCTGCAGATAATACTCCGACCTTCGCAGCCCATCCCCAGAACCTCCAGAGCCTCAGGTCTCCAGAAGCTGCAGAGCCGGGAGTCGAGAGGCCGTCGAGCGTCAACGAGTCGACTGCCAGCATCACCGAGCATCGGCAAACCCCAGCTCTCAGCCCTCTCCCGGTCTATCTGTCCGTACATATGCAGCACCCATAAGCCCTGCCCTGCCCTGCCCTGTCCTGTCCTGCCCATCCCGGCCCTGCCCATCCCTTCCCTTCCTATCCTATCCCGTCCGACGAACCAGCGCCATCGCAATCACGCACACACACGCACGCACACACACACACTCTCACCATACACACCCACCCACGTACACCTACACGTACATACATATATACACGTACATAGGCACGCATAGCCTGTGCCCTACGCTGTGCCCGGCTCGACCGTCCTCTCATACGAGCCCGCCGCCCGACCGCCAGCGTCGTCTTACCCACACCTGGTCTCGCCCATTCCGCCCGTCTGGCCGGTTCCTGCAGTTCCTGGCCCTGAATCTCCCCACGTGCCGGATGGACATGACTAGCCCGTGAGCGTTAGGAGGACCTGGCACTACATGCGCACGATATTATGGTAATATCGGCAAGCAGGTACACGCGGAACCCACCCTCCTTAGTACCCATTCGCGGCGTGGATACTCGACTCGAACCTGCGTACGCCGCCCTATCATGCGCCGTCCAGCCCACCCGCCTACATAGCTCGCCCGCGACAACTTCTCCCGTCCTTCTAGAATGCCCATCGCCCGATGGCAGCTGGTGAACCAACGATCTTCCTCGAGTCGCGATTTCTGACCAGACACCTCCCCCCCGCGCCCGTCTAGCTCTCTCGATAGCCTCCCCCCCCCCCGCGAATGAACCGCGAGGTAGGTGGCCTCGACGCCGACACACCTGACCAAATAGGCACAGCACTGATCCTTTTGATTCGTGAGGAGGAGCCAGCTGAGTGCTCGATGCTCGATCGCGCCCGTCTCGATGCCGTCGAAATCACGCAGTCGTGGTGTTCCGCCGCCGGAGACGGAGACTCACAGCGACCACATCGAGAACCTCGTCGACTGGTCGCAAGCCACTGCGGGAGATACGCTACCGGCCAGCAACGATTGGGCGCCCAATAGTAACAATAACATGAACGTCAGCAACAATCACAACGGCAACAATAATGACAACAACAATATCACACCCGCTAATATCAGGTCCAACGTGAGTCTCTTGCAGACCGCTACTGTTCGGGCTGTTACGCCTGAGCCTGGCGAGAACGGCCGCGCCACGGACACCAGCTTTACCCAAGTCGCTCGGGGCTTCGGCGCTGCCTCACCCCAGCAGAGCTCCCCCAGATCCATACCCGGTGGGGAAGCGAGACGACAAGGCATAGTGTTTAACGATGCCTGTAACGACTCCCTCGATAATAACAACACCTCCACAAGCCCACCGCCCCAGCACCAGAAGGCTCCTCTTAGACCGCGCACGCACACCGTCGATGGCGCGCTAGCGCTACGTCAACAGAACACCTCGCCAGTTGTCGACAGCAACCGGCACAGGGTCGGATCCTTTTCATCCTCGGGTTCCCAGCCGTTCGCAGACGTCGATATCCGTCCCCCACCAACAGTCCTGGAATCAGTAGGCTATCCGTCCGTCGCATCACCGAGACCCCCCGATCTGAAAATCTCCTCTTCGTCGAGCAAGGAGAAGAAATCCTCCAACCGACGCCTTATTAAACGTGCAAACCCCCGTCCGACCTCGCCTCTGGTATCTCCACCGCCTTCTGTGGACTCGTTGCCCCTTCCGGTACCTACGGACGATGCGAACAAGATCCTCCTGCTCATGAAGACGTTGTGCGGCCGGATGAAGGGCGAAATCGAATACCAAGGTGAGCCAAATGGTCCCTGGCATACCGGCACCTGCTATATCGACGAAGACCGAGGCAGCTTGGTGTTCGACTCAGCTCAGAATGGGCCGTACCACACTCCGCTCGTGGCGGATCTTCGCGGGTGCAGGGTCCTGCCGGTGGATGGCCTGGACGGCAGAGGAAAGTGCCTAGAAATCCACAACCATAAAATAGGCGTCGACCTTCTGCTGCGACCTATCCCAGCCGAGGAATTTGACCTGTGGCTCGCTAGCTTGCTCTGCTGGCAACAGCTGCGTCCCAGCGCGGTGAGATTCGCCAACGGAAGAAGTGCCAATCCACCCGGCTCGAACAGGACGGAGATGCGGAGGCGAGGATCTTCGGCCGCCGCCGGTTCGTCCTCGAAGGATGCGGCCATTATCAAGGTTGGCAAGGTGAAGCTATGGGACAAAGGCGTCGCTACGTCGCCGCGCGCCATCGTCAAGCGCCCCTCCACGCGGTATCTCCGCTCGGGACAGACGTCGTGGCGGGAGGTGTCGTGCATCCTGCAGGATAACGGCGAATTCAAATTGATGTCCGAGAGCGACGTGACGGTGCTCTCCGTCATCGAGCTGTCCCAGCTCTCCCGCTGTGCCGTGCAGCAGCTCGATAGATCTGTCTTGGACAGAGAATTCTGCATCGCCATCTTCCCGATCTACACCTCCACGTCGAAGCAGCTCTCGATATTCCGCCCCGTGTTCCTTTCCCTAAACTCGAGAGTTCTCTTCGAGGTTTGGTTCGTCCTCCTGCGAGCCTTCGCCGTCCCGGACCTGTTCGGGATCGAGGCGTCGGGAGGCCAGGTAACCGAGGTACGAGACTTCGAGAGGGAGTTCGAAGGGCAACTCTTCCGTCTCGAGAAGACCATACAGGTGAGGGTCACGGAGGCCAAAATATGCAAGCCGACCCCGTTGCCGGAGCACCATCACGACCGACACGCCAAGGACCGCGATGCCCTCGCCGGCAATTACCTCGCCGAAGTTATCTTAGACGGCGAGGTCCGGTCGAGAACCACGACGCAGCCAAACACGAAGAATCCGTTCTGGCGAGAGTCCTCCCAGTTCACCGAATTGCCCACCACGTTGCCGTACCTCTCGATCATCCTAAAGCGAGTCGAGAGCAACCCGGAAAGTTTCAGCCACCAGCTTCAAGCCTCCTTGGGCCTCCCCAGGACCGGAAACTTCGCCGAGGCTCTATGTGGGTCCGTGGATATATCCTTGGACAAGTTGGAGCGGGCAAAGGATCACGAGCAGTGGTTCCAGGTCTACGATGAGAACCAGGAGTCGATCGGAAACATGCTCGTCAAGATAAACCACGACGAGCTGATCGTTCTCGCGGCGAAAGATTACGAGCGGCTCTCGGAGCTCCTCCACAAGTTCAGCGTCGGGCTGACGAGTCAGATCGCAGTCGCGATACCTACCTCTATGCGACGACTTGCCGAGTTGTTTCTCAACATTTTTCAGGTGTCGGGAAGCTCCGGCCAATGGCTCATGGCCCTCGTCGAGGAAGAGATTGACGGGATCAGCAGTCAGAATAGTATGAAGAGGGTGCGCTTCAGCCGCCGGTTGAAGTCAAACGACTCTGGAACCTCTTCGAACGAGAGGGATCAGCTCTTCCGCGACGTCAAGTCCCTAGCCGGAGAGGCAAATCTCCTATTCCGCGGAAATACTTTGCTCACGCAGGCCTTAGAATTTCATATGCGGCGCCTCGGGAAGGAGTACCTCGAGGATATCCTGAAGGACAAGATCAACGAGATCAACGATCTCAACCCGGACTGCGAGGTTGATCCGAGCAGGGTTCAGCACGGCGACAACATACAGCAACACTGGGACCAGCTGATCGCCCTGACGAGCGACGTATGGGAATGCATCGCCGATTCGGCGACCAAACTCCCGCTCGAGCTCCGGCAGATTCTCAAATACGTCCGAGCCGTCGCGGAAGATCGCTACGGCGACTTTCTCCGCACCGTGAATTACACAAGCGTCTCGGGATTCCTGTTCCTTCGTTTCATCTGTCCGGCCATCCTCAACCCGAAACTGTTCGGGCTCCTGCGGGACAATCCGCGGCATCGGGCCCAACGGACGCTAACTCTCATCGCGAAAGGCCTCCAGGCCCTCGCAAACCTGTCGACCTTTGGCAAGAAGGAGAGTTGGATGGAGCAGATGAACAAGTTTCTAAGCAGCCACCGACAACCTTTCCGGGATTACATTGACCAGATGTGTTCGATACCGACTGATACCAAAGCTTCCGCTCTTCCCGCCTCATATTCGACTCCCATCACCATCATGGGCCGCTTATCCCCAGCGTCTCGAGAAGGATTCCCCTCGCTGCCGTACCTCATCGACCACCCGAGGAATTTCGCGGCCTTGGTTAAACTTTGGCTTGAGTCCAATCACAAGGCGACATATATGGACCCCGCCGACTTCGATGCCGAACTAGCAGAATTCCACGCCCTCTGCTTGGAGGTTCAGAGGCGCTCCGACGAATGCCTAGCCAGGGTCGAAGCCCTCCGCGCAGAGAACGAATCGGGGGTGGAGGACCTCGCCGAGAACTTTGAGAAATCATCTTTTATAGATTCGGTCAATACTGCATACTCTAACATGACATCGTGGACCGACAACGACCCCTACCGGCCGCCAGGTTCATCCGGCAGTGACATGGATGGCGGAGATCGACCAGCGTACCGTAATTTCGGTCGAGAAGGCAACCGTCACGGGTCAGACAACCCGTTCGAGGTGATACGGGCAAAAGCCGGAAACGTAAAGAGCCCTCGGAGTTTCCTCCACGGTCTGATCGGCGGCAAGAAAGCGAGAGAAGCAAAGGAAGGGAGGGAATCGGGCGGCTCGGGGTCGACCGTCCGAGACAAGAGCAGGGACAAGGAGGAGAAGGAGAAAGGCAGTAGGGGTATCCTGGGGACCTTCTCGGAATCTCGGCAGGGTGAATCGAACTCGAGGCACTAGTTATGCACCCCCCATACCCACCTGAGCTCGCCCGCGAAGTCGCGGACTAGACTTATCAGGAGATCGGGCAGACCCAGGCCTGCCTAACGACATGGTCGCTCACTCGAGAACCAGAGGTGCAAATTGAAGGGCACGTCTAGGCCGAGGTGAGGGAAAAAATCATTTAAGCAATACCCCCTTTGAGTTTCGTTTTTATCTCATTTCTTGTCCTCGTTTTTGCATCGTCACATGAACATAGAGTTATAGACCGTGGGGGGGGTGGGTATGAGGGCGGCACCTCTCACTAAAAAAGAGGACATGTGAATCCCGGGTTCGGGCAGAGGCTTATTCTTGTCAACCGTCCTTTTATTTTTATCTCGTATGGAGTTTTCCCCTCAGCATTTGGATTGACTGGTATAAACAAGCCTAGGTGGGGGAATCTTGATCTTATTTTTTTGGGCTGCTTTTCCCCCCCATAACCCCTAGCACTTCGGGCCTCTTACTTTTCCTTATTCATCTGTCTACCTCCTTGCTCTTCCTCGACCTATCCCTTCGCCTACGTACGTGGGCAGATAGGCTGGTGAAAAGACAGAGGCGGCCAGGCCGAGAACCAGCAGGGAACGGAGGAACGAGGGAATAAAGCTGCTTCTACCACCACTACTACTGGTTCCCTTGGAAATGACAGGATTACACGACGGGGCCAAGCGAGCAAGTAACGCTAGAGAGGCCTCCAGGCAGATGGATCCTTATCGGACGGAGAAGACAACGAGACTCGACGGAGAGAGGGGTGCGAGAGCTCAGGCAAGAGGGTGGTGAAACATAAACGCACAGGACCAAGCAGACAGAGGACAGAATAAAATAGGGAAGAAGAGACGGGACGTGAGACGAGCAGACGACGCGAAGATGAAGAAGACGAAGCGCTGCAGACAAGAGCTTTCCAAATAAATAAGAGCTTCTCTCCACGCGCGCCGGCGTGTCTCGCCATCGTTTAGCCCACCCTACTAGACCTAAACCCGTTCCCTGCCGTGTGCATAACTCCTCCTGGCCTACTCGCGTCAACGTCCAGCTGCCCGGCCGGCGTAGCCACGACATCCCGGACCGAAGTCGGAACTCCCGCGCCCTATCCCCGTTTACTCGCTTCTCGGACGAGACGGCACGTGCCTACTTATCCATCTACCCGTCTACAGGGAGCAGCCTCGGCCCCGTAGTCAGCACCTCGCGCCGGTGCAAGGTCGGCCGCCCCCCAGAGGAGAAGGGCGAGCAAGACGTGTGTATCTATCGCTTACTACTGCGGCCAACAGTCGAGATTATACTCGTGTGTCAACCTTCGTAGCATACAAGCATGCTTATCTTGTAAAAGGTTTCAATGCCTTATTCGCCCCTTTCTTATCCAAGGACCTGTTATCTACCTTGCATCCAGCACGTAAGACTCTGGGGATCCGCCCATGTAGCTATAACTGCGTGCTATATACTGCGAGCGAGGCCTTGTAGATATCGTCTCCACGGCTTGTGCGTGTCTCTCTCGTCGTCATGTGTCTAGAGACCCGGGCGGGGAATAGTTCATCAGCACGTAGGTTTGCTTGGGGAGGAAGGACAAGGCGAGCGTCTATGACTAATCACCGTCGTTATTGTCCAGTTTTATCCTCTGCCCTCCCTACGAAAAGAGCCGCGCGTCAGTGGGCGAGTCAAAAAGGGCGGTTATGGTTTTAAGTCTCCCTCGAGAGGTCTATCGGTGTCGAGCCCTGAACCTTCTCGTCACGGCTACCTCTCTACGTTCCCCAGCTAACCAGCTAGAACTATTACATTTATTTTACTTTGTTGAGCTTCTCTTCGTCTGTGTATCGTAATTCTCGTCAAGTCCAGAGCCACGCTATCGCATTGTTCACTCGGAACCAAAATCCGCAACTGGGTACGAAGATGATCGGTGTGCCAGACTGAATCGTTATGCCCAACCCTCCATTCGCCTGGCCCCTCATTCTTTTTTTATTTATTTTTCAAACTGTCCTTCGATACGCCAAGTCGTTTATCCCATCTATTCTGCCCTCCTACCCTGTCGCTTTCTCTAACCACGGAGGGAGATCACGAGAAGAACTTCTTATAGACAGCTTTCTCCTTGGCAAGACGGGCAGCGGCCTGCTTCTTAACGACGTCGAGTTCCTTCGTGATGGCGGCGTCGCCGGGGACCAGCTTGTGGGCCTCCTCGAGGGACTGGACAGCTGAGTCCTCATCCTTGAGCTTTATGAGGGCAACGCCGCGACGATACAACGCCTTGCCCTTCTCGGCGTCCGAGACGCCCGAGACAGCGAGAGCAGCGCTAGCGTGACGCTCGGCTTCGGCCCAGGCCTCGAGCTTAAGGTTAAGCAGGGCTGAGTTGCAATTGAGAGTGAAGCGTAGGGCATCGAGCTTCTGGCGGGTGTCGGCAGGGTCTTCGTCCTTGACCTCGGGCTCCTCGTTAAGGTAGCGCAATCCCTTCTGGTACTTGTCCAGGCCGGTGGGCAGGCTGCCCTCCTTGAAAGCGCGGTTACCGAAGTCCTTGCAGTCCTGAGCGATGCGGAGGACACGGGGGGCGGTCAAGGGCTGCTCGGGATCATCTTCGGGGAAATCCTCGTAGATGTCGCCAAGGGCGTCGGGGGCCTTAACCTCGGACGAAGCAGCCTTGGCGGCATCGGCAGTCAGCTGGCCGCAGTCGGCGATGACGGCGTCTTTGACGGGCTTATCATTCTGCGTGCGTAGGTTCTCGATCTGGCGCACGACAGACTTGCCGGACTTGACCTCGCCGAAGACCACGTGCTTCCCGTCGAGGTGGGGGGTCGGGACGGTGGTGATGAAGAATTGGGACCCGTTCGTACCTTAGGAATCAGGAAGGCGAGGCAAGCAACGAGTTAGCTCTAGTCGGTACAGCCCAAGGGGGAAAAAAAATTAAATGATAATAATAATAAAAGGTAGCGCGCTGGACTGGGGGAAATAGAGGACGTACCGGGACCAGCGTTGGCCATGCTCAACAGGAAAGGACGGTCATGCTTGAGCTGGAAGTTCTCGTCGTCAAACTTGGCGCCGTAGATGCTCTCGCCGCCGGTGCCGTCGCCGTTGGTGAAGTCGCCTCCCTGGACCATAAACTGCTTGATGACGCGGTGGAACAGACTGCCCTTGTAGGTCAGGGGCTTGCCGGCCTTGCCGACGCCCTTCTCGCCGGTGCATAGGGAGCGGAAGTTCTCAGCAGTCTTGGGCACGACATCGTCGTATAGCTTGAAGACGATGCGGCCGGCAGGCTCGTTGCCGATGGTGACGTCGAAGAAGACATAGCTATTGTTAGCGCCTTCTGAGCTTGCCATGGTTGCTATGGCTTTGCCTCTCGGTGCGGTTCAACGTTCAGCGTCCAACGTGGAATATTCGTCTATGGTTGGCAGTAGTGGGTGCGGCCGACTGGAGTCCGGGGGTGATGCTGGCTTTTATTGCTGGTGCTGTTGTTGCGAGAGAAGAGAGGAGAGAGAGAGACTCGGGTCAAGAGGAGAGAGGCCCGGGTCGAATCGATGACAGGACGCGGACGGAGGAGAAGAAGGGTTTAGGGCAGGAGGCAAGGCGAGAGAGGGAAGAGGGACAAATATCTCGAGGCGCAGGAGCGATGTCGTTAGGGACGGGAATGGGAATGCGGCTGCCGCCTCCGGGAAAATGCGTGTGAAGGCTCCTGCCGTAGGATGTCGTCGTAGAAGCTTCTAGCTGGAGGGGTGAGGCCCTGAATCGCGGGGTACCTGCCCGTTTTTCACGATGCAGCAGGCAACTACCTCCTCCTTGGGAGGTACTTCTAAGGTACGGAGTCGCATAGCTACAACTGGGAAAAAACTCCACTTTTCGGTCTAACGCCCTAGTTTTATCGTCTATATATACGCCTCTAATAGGAGGAGGTATATATATTTAATGCAAGTCCCCGATAGCTTTATATTATATTCGTAGTAGCTTATATATAAACGAATAAAGTTATAAGCTACCGAGCTATCCCTTCGCGGGCCGGGTATTTTATATAGGTTTATATATAAACGATTTATTACTATAAAAAACCGGAAAAAATTAAAAATATCGGAAATTTACTTATATAATTAATTAACTTAATTAAATTAATATATAAACTTTTCGGATTTTTCGCTTAATAATATAAGAAATTATTTATAATTTAAGGGTTTTTAAAACTATATTAATAATTTATTATATAATTTATTAATAAATTTATTAACTATACTTTATATTAGCTTCTTAACTTATTTCTTTTATAGTAATAAAGTAAGTTTATTACCTAATCCTTTATAATATAGATAAAATAATAATTAAAATTACGTAACCTTTTTTTTAAATTAATTAAGTCTTTAAAACGTTAATTTCTAGTATTCTTTTTTAGAACCTTTTTATATAAAAAAGAAGATAGTTAAAAAGGTAGAATTCTTACTATAAAAATAGGTACGATTTTAAAAAGTTTTAACCTATTTAAAAACGTAGTTTTCTTAAAATAATAAATTAAATAAAAATAAAAATAAAAAATAAAAATAAGATTACTTAATACTAGTTATTTTTTTATTTATAAAATAAAGTATTAAGTAATAAACCTACTTTATTACTATAAAAAAATAGGTAAATATATCGATATAAGTATAATTAATAAGGTTATTAATAAATTATATAAGAAGTTATTAACGTAATTTTAAAAAACCTTAAATCGTATATAACTTCTTATATTAGTAAGTATAAAATTCGAAAACTTTATTTATTACTTTAATTAAGTTAATTAATTACGTAAGTAAATTTTCGATTTTTCCGATTTTTTCCTAGTTTTTTACGGGGATAAATCGTTTATATATAAACCTATATAAAATACCTAGCTCGCGAAGGGGTAGTCTAGCTTACTTATTAGCCGACCTAGCTAGAGGGTAGCTCCTTCCCTACGTATAATTAAATATTCAACCTATACCTTCCTACTTACCATACCCCTAGGGTATACGTACCGAAAAGTAGAGTTTTTTCCCAGTTGTAGCTATGCGACTCCGTACTAAGGCAGGTAGGTTACCTAAGGTACCTACGTAGTAGCGATACGTACCCAAGTCTGTGGGGCAGTCTCTCGCTGCCACCTGCCAGTACCACGCTGGCGCCTGTGCCAAGTGGCCAAGTACCGACAGTACGGCGAGCGAGGAGGAAGCGAGAGCTCAGTGGGTTTGATAATAGAGGATAGGTTCGATTCCTGACAGCGCTACTTGGTAGTCTCTATTGTTAAGTCTATCTGCGAGAGGTTGAGTGTGGAGTAGACACCTGCCTACCTAAGTACCTCAGTACCTCCATGCCTATATCCCCTTCAGTGCAATACCTATAGTATACGCACCGTCCTGCTCCCACCATAATATTGGCACTTTATTGCACAACTACCGACCTCTCAGGTCTAGGAAGACCACCTCTGCGTTCTCACCATGTAGGTACCTACCTCAGGTACTTACCACGTAGGTACGCGAGCTATCGCTAGTCTCAGCCCTATGCCTTCGACGGAGTGTATAATCACGTCTGAACGGGAGAGAGGGGTAAATAGCTAGAGGTTAAGCAAGTAAGTATAAGAAGTGGCTTACTGGCACGGATCATGGCAAAAGGAGAGAGGGAGATAAGAAAGGAGTGCAGCAACAGTGGGAGGGTTTCCGGATCGGGCCAAATACGTGGCCGAGGGGCCTATGAGAGACAAGAGACGGATCAGACTCTCCCCCCCAACCAACTCCCATGGGACATCAGATTAAGCAACACTAGGAAAATGGACTATTATAGGTAAATCCACAACAGCCTCTCCCGCCCCCTTTTAGCTCGCCCACTAACACGTCCGCCAGACCCAGCCGTCCTAGGGGACACCTACTAGGTGCTCGGCCGCTTGGGGCTTATCTGTCTGCTTGCTATCCAATCTTGGACGGCCCCTTCGCCACGTTCCTCGCCACGTTCTTCGTCGTTGATGTCCGACGGGGGGTGTGTCGTCTCGTGCTGTCGAGCTCGAGTCTTGCGATGTGCTTCATCCACACGTGGCCCGTCGATGTGTCCGCACCCGTGGCGCGTATCTCTGCCTACTTACCTACTGCTCTCGGGTCTGTCCTCTGCGAATACCTCTATAGGTAGGTAGGTATATGAGGGTTCTGTTGTTGTCGTTGCCTGCCGCTGCGCCGACCGCTGCTGCATCCAGCGGCGGTACGTGGTAATTATCGCTTCCCGCGTGATGGCAGAAGAGGGCGAGAGGGTGTGGTTCCGTGCTATGTCATGGAAAGTCTCGACGAATTATCCCACACATGTGGTTCTCTTATTGGGGCTTGGTGGCGCTGGGCTATGGCAACCTACCTTAGGTACCTATGCGCGTTCATGTCTCCTGATGTAGGTACCTGGCCCACCCCTGTAGTCACTAGCCCGCTTGCGGTGTTCCCTGTATGCTCCCTAACCCGAAGAAGGTATCGGCCTTAGGTACCGATCCCTAGCCGTCTGTAGGGGCTCGGCCGGCCAAAAATAGCTCTGATAGACTAGTACATCTCTCGCCCCCGAGTCCAAGCCTACAGACAATGTTCCTTGCTAACAGGATGCCGTAAGCCGCCCGAGGTACCTCGCCAACTGCTTAGTGAGGTTAGTCTATTCTGAGCATTTCCGACAATGACCGCCTTCCCCCCCCCCCCCAGACTTTCCCATCCGGACATACCACAGCCCCCTCCATTACGGAGTCGCATAGCTATAACTGGGAAAAAACTCTACTTTTCGGTACGTATACCCTAGGGGTGTAGTAGGTAGGAAGGTATAGGTTGAATATTTAATTATACGTAGGGAAGGAGCTATCCTCTGACTAGGTCGGCTAATAAGTAAGCTAGACTATCCCTTCGCGAGCTAGGTATTTTATATAGGTTTATATATAAACGATTTATTCCCGTAAAAAACCGGGAAAAAATCGGAAAAATCGAAAATTTACTTACGTAATTAATTAGCTTAATTAAAGTAATAAATAAAGTTTTCGAATTTTATACTTACTAATATAAGAAGTTATATACGATTTAAGGTTTTTTAAAATTACGTTAATAACTTCTTATATAATTTATTAATAACCTTATTAATTATACTTATATCGATATATTTACCTATTTTTTTATAGTAATAAAGTAGGTTTATTACTTAATACTTTATTTTATAAATAAAAAAATAATTAATATTAAGTAATCTTATTTTTATTCTTTATTTTTATTTTTATTTAATTTATTATTTTAAGAAAACTACGTTTTTAAATAGGTTAAAACTTTTTAAAATCGTACCTATTTTTATAGTAAGAATTCTACCTTTCTAACTATCTTCTTTTTTATATAAAAAGGTTCTAAAAAAGAATACTAGAAATTAACGTTTTTAAGACTTAATTAATTTAAAAAAAAGGTTACGTAATTTTAATTATTATTTTATTTATATTATAAAGGATTAGGTAATAAACTTACTTTATTACTATAAAAGAAATAAGTTAAGAGGTTAATATAAAGTATAGTTAATAAATTTATTAATAAATTATATAATAAATTATTAATATAGTTTTAAAAATCCTTAAATCGTAAATAATTTCTTATATTACTAAGCGAAAAATCCGAAAAGTTTATATATTAATTTAATTAAGTTAATTAATTATATAAGTAAATTTCCGATTTTTTTAATTTTTTCCGGTTTTTTATAGTAATAAATCGTTTATATATAAACCTATATAAAATATCCGGCCCGCGAAGGAATAGCTCGGTAGCTTATAACTTTATTCGTTTATATATAAGCTACTACGAATATAATATGAAGCTATCGAGGACTTGCATCAAATATATATACCTCCTCTTATTAGGGGCGTATATATAGACGATAAAACTAGGGCGTTGGACCGAAAAGTAGAGTTTTTTCCCAGTTGTAGCTATGCGACTCCGTACTCCATACACCCACCGTCCATTCTCACGATCGCTTCCCATCTTCACCTTCTGCCTCTGCATATCCACATCACTAACCAGCCAGCCAAGGGCGCAGCAGCAGGGCTACCGTACCGCTTGGTTCCCTAGATGTTTTATATGGTATGGAGGGTTGATTCATGGTCGTTTCCTAGCTCCTTTCCTTCTTCAGCTTCTTCCGCTTCTTCTCCTGCTCCTTGTTAGCATCCACTCTCGGATACCCATCCTCGCCTTGTCGCTCCATGTATTTGCCTACCTTCCTTAGGTCTACTGTCGTTTTGATACATCGCTGCGCGTATATATCTGTCTATATCCCCTCTCCGTCGTATTTTCCCTCGTTCGTCTCCCTTCGACTAGCTTGAAATCCCGACCGCTCCGCTCCATTATCCGTCGACGTGCTATGCGCATCGGCGACCGCCCATTCTCTTCTCGATGTACCATCTCCGCCGCTTGACCATCGCCGCCCTCATCCTCACCACTATCGTCTTCACCCTCACCTTCCTGCCCCGCCTGCTCAACCCGGTCCCGCCTAGCAAGGAGAAACGGGAGGCCGACCAGCGATGGATCGACACCTCTCCATACTGGCTGGACCGGCAAGCCTGCCGTTGGTTCAGTCTCTGCGGCCTGCTACATCTCAAGGCCGATCCTCCCGCGAGGCCAAAGAATAAGGATGGTGGCGGCCATAGGCACGATTTGAGACATATAAGAGAAGGGAGGGCGTCGGAAGCAACGTCGATAGGAGGACAGCTGAGAGGGATTCCGGAATACGTCCTGACCTACGCGCCGCTTATCCATCTTTACTCCCAGGAATTCTTCTGGCCCTCTGATATCGCCGACCATATGCAGCATGTGATACCCGACCTCAGCGGGGACGACTGGCCTCTCAACGACACTCGGGTCCCGACCCTAGCCAATCTCCACAAGTTAAGCGTCGAGCTAGGGTTCCGACACCTTAAGAGCAAGGATGACGTCGAAACTCGTCCGCGGTGGCTTCACAGCAAGGATAATAAACCCACCGCCTTCGATGACGGATCCAACGACGGTAGCGATGGGAGCAACGACGGCCCGGACCCGAGCGAGCAGTTGAGCGAGGACACGACCTGGTTCGATGTGGATCGGGAGCACCCCTTACGTCGGATCTCAGACCCTCGGAAGCTACCTGGCGGCATTCCGAAACAACAGCAGCGGAAGGAGCTAGCTAAGCGGTCCCGAGCCGTCCGTGCCCGCGAGCAGCATCGGCTCCTATCCCAGGCCGCGCAGGATAACCAGAACAAACCCGACGAGTCGGGATACTCGCGCGCCCCCGTCACTCTCATTTTGGTGGACAAAGGGTCCGGCATCGTCGACGCCTTCTGGTTCTTCTTCTACGCCTACAACCTGGGGCAGACGGTCCTAGGCACCCGCTACGGGAACCACGTTGGTGATTGGGAGCACACCATGATCCGGTTCGAGTCGGGCATCCCGCGCGCCGTCTACTTCAGCGAGCATGAGGGCGGGCAGGCCTACGCCTGGCGCGCCGTGGAGAAGCAGCGCAGCAACGTGACCGAGGTGCAGAGGCCGGTCATCTACAGCGCGGTGGGGTCGCACGCGATGTACGCCACGCCTGGGAACCACGCGTACGTGCTGCCGTTCGGGATGCTCAAGGATGTAACGGACCGGGGCCCGCTCTGGGACCCGGCCAAGAACCTGCGCGCGTACTGGTACGACTACGCCGCGGCCGGACGCGGGGTGGGCGCCGGCGACGAAGCAGACGACAAGGGCCTCGAGCCGACGAGCGAGAACCCGAACGCGCCGACGGACTGGTTCCACTACCGCGGCACATGGGGCGATGACCTGTACGGGCTCGACGACCAGCGGCAGTGGCGCCTGTTCGGCCAGTACCACTACGTGGCGGGCCCGCAGGGTCCCAAGTTCAAGAACCTCGGTCGCGAGAAGGTGTGCCTCAACTGGAAGTGCCGGATCATACACAGCATCGCCGAAGGCAGGAAGGGGAGCTGGCACTCGTGAGGCGAGGTCGGGTCGCGCATATGACGAGACAGCGGATGTGGGGTTGTACATATGAGGTCTTATTACGTTAGAACTAACCAAGCACTTACAACGGGTTTCCGAGGCGTTCACGGTCACGGCGATAGATACCCCTGACCGCGGCAGCGGTAGTGGTGGCGGCAGAAGCAGCACTATGGCATGCTTTGGCGCGGATCGGGTTGCTTTTTTTGAGTGAGAGAGAGAGAGAGAGAGAGAGAGGATTGCTATGCCATATCCATACATGAAACGGACCTCGGGGCCTGGTCTATTTAGAATTATGAATTCCCGAACAACTTGAATAGTCATGTTATTCGTCTGCGACACTAGGCGATACGATGTCTGAATGTGACTGCTCGCGTCTAATGCCGCTAACTCGCTCATCCGCCTCCCTCGTCCCGGGACCTCGCGTCGGGGGTATATCTGTGCCCCGCGCCGCTTTCGGCACTTCAGTCGCTGGGCGATGCGACGAGAGAAACACGAAAGAAGCTTAAGGGAGGGAAGGGGGGCAAGTGACAGAATCGGGGATAGAAGAAGGCTATATAGCTCTTCAGCTGAAAGCTTCGGAGACGGTGCACTGGTGGTATATAGGCAATGTTATATATATCCACTGGTGTAGGCAAATTCAAACTCAGACTCAGCCCAAAAGCAAAATGGCGAAATGCGATGGATATCGCCTGCTAGTGACATTGAGTCGGGTTAGAGGATCTCGAGGGACTGCCCGAGTCAGGAGCAGTGTGGACGCAATTCGCGGGTGGATCGATATACCCATACACAAGCCCGCGGCATTTGCGGTTGAATCAATACGGGATGCGAGAATTTCTCTATTCTTCAGAGGAAATTATCAGCCACCCTCTCGGATGAGAACCGAGGTCTCGAGCACTATGATAGGCCCACAGCTCGAGGCCACTGGAATAATAGACTTGGCCGCATCTTTTCTTGAGACTCTGCCCTCCTACATCGTCTCTATCCACCCCTCCTCCATACCCAAGGCCCCGGTATCAGGAACGTCAAAACCCGGCCCGCAAATTCTTTGGTTCTTCTATAACCGACTGTCCAAGATCGTTCGTCCACGTATAATATAGCTGAATTGAGACGTGGCAATAGAACCATGATCGCCAAGGGGTATACATAAGGTAAATATATCTGCTGATATAAAATCTCTATAGCTCTCTCTCTCCCCAACCCCACCCTCAGGACTTGATGAAAGCCGGGGTTTGGTCACCAATGTTCTCTAGCACGGCGTCTAAGGCCTCCTGTAGATCGGCGTGGAAGAAGGGCCGGTTGAGGCCGTATATGGGTACCTGACGGGAACTTCCTTCCGAATCGTTTATGGAAGCGGGAGGCAGCGCCCCAATCTCCTCGTCGTTGCGCCCCCCGAACTTCTCAGCCGTTGCCGCTCTGCCAAACTTGTCGTTGCTCGAGAGAGGCGAGGCGGCATCCGCCAAGTCGGCCACGCTGAAGATGGATTTCCACCGGCGGCCGGGCTCGGCATCTCCCTGATTGGGCAGTATAAATCCGAAACCGGCAGCGGTGAAGGCGCGCCGTGTCCAAGGATTCCTCACATTGGCAAAGTGCCATTCGACCGTGTCGGGCTGGGCATACTTATCCAGCTGGTTACGCACGTCAATTAAAGCCTGAACCGAAGTTACGTCGACGTTATTGATCGCCGAGCAGTCTAATATAATCGCCCGGAGAGTCGGCCGCACATCCGGCTCTTCAGGAAGTTCTTTCCCCTTACGAGGCCCGGGATCGTTCCAAGGACGGTCCTAGAGAAACGTGAGCAATCGAGAATAAAAGAGGCGGTATGACACCGCAAGAAACTTACTCCTAATTTCCCGAGCGACGCGGGATCGGTCCTTCGGGTAACCTTGAAAATTCCAGTGGAAAGCTGGTCCAAATAACGATTCGCGTTCGGATAATTGAACAGCTCCGAGAACTGATAGATGAAGACTCCGGGATAGGGGTGAGTGACGACGACTTCGGGGTTCGAGTTATCTTCGTGGTCGATCGGAAGGAAAATGTTACGATACGTCGACACACTGCCGCCTTTGAGGCTTGCCGGCGCCTTCTGGTCTGGGGAGAGAGGCTGACCCTCACTGGCGGTCCCAGTCCTCACGTCTCCGATAGTGCGTATCTTTGCCACGCCGAGGAAGCGCCCCTTAGCTTGGAATAGGCGGAAAACGAAGACGACGAAGGAAATGCACACCGTGGTGTAAATGCCGTCTTCGATGCCGTCGAATATAGTAACCAACACACCGGCCAGAAAGATAATAACCTCCAAAGGCGATACCCTCCAAAACTGATACACTATTCTCGGCGGCGACACGACGTCCAGCACTGCGTGAACGATGACCGCCGACATAGACGCCTGGGGGATGTACCAGAAGACTGCCGTCAACGCATACAGGGCGAGAAGCACAACAACAGCGGTAATGACGCCGGCAAACGGCGTTCGTACGCCAGCCTTCGATTTAATCGCAGTCCGAGAGAAAGATCCGGTGGCCGGGTATCCGCCGAGGAAGGGTCCCAAAAGGTTGGTGACACCGATAGCAACCAACTCTTGGGACGGGTCGATGACGTAGTTGTTTACGCGGCCGAACGACTTCGAAATAGAGATGTGCTCGATCAGGACAACGATAACGGCCGCAGGAAGCTCCGAGACGAAGGAAGAAATGATTCTCGCGTCAAGATCTGGCACGGCAGCATGTTGAAACCCTGAAGGCGCTTGTCAGCTTTTCCATCGAAGGACGAGTACCGGGGATGGGATGGGAGCGCTCGTACCACGCGGGACTTCACCCAAGACGCTAAATAAGGGATCGGTCCGACGATACACGTTGACGCCCGCGCTGATGCCCGTATAGAGCAAAATGACAAAAGCGGTTCGGAGCGTGGAAACGAAGAAGAATGTCTTCGCTCGGTGGGGGTACCTCTTGGCCAGATATGCGCAGGTCTCCCTGATGATATAGAGCATAAGCAAAGCCGTAAGCCCCATGGCGGCATCGATGGTAGTGTACGGGAGATTCTTTAGGGTGTTGATGATGACCTGATAAGTGGGATCTCGGGTCGAGAATCTCCTCCTCTTGCTATTCATCCCCATCACGGTGGGTATCTGCCCGACCGCGATGTTGATTCCGGACCCCGTCATGAACGCGGCAATGGAGGGCAGCGGGATGAAATCCACAACCCAACCGAGTCTGGCCAGTCCGAGGAAGGTCACAATACCGCCGACGATAACGGCGAGAGCAGATGCAACGACGTGACCGGGAACGTCCGGGATGACCTCCGCTGCTGTGTTGACGATCCCACCCGTGACAGTTGACATAACCGCGACAGGCTGGGTCGGGGAGTTAGCACGTCATGTGACCGAAGCGACACAATCCGAAGAGTCGGACAAGATTCATGACATACCCCGATGGTGATATCTTTCGAGGTTGCGAAGAACCAATAGATCAGGACACCCATAAAGGATGAGTACAGGCCATATTGAGGCTCAAGCCCCGCCAAGAGCGCGTAAGCCATACCCTGAGGCACGACCACGGCACCGACGGTAACGCCTGTACCCACTGTCAGTCACGATCGCGCACGGAGGAGAGGGGGCACACATGGTGTGTGTGGGCTTACCAGCAATTAGATCGCCAATGAACCATGTCAGATTGTATTTGGTAATCCAATGCAGGAAGGGGAACAGTCGATACAGGTACTGGAAAATACCTCGGGGCGTGGGCGTGATGCCGAGGATCCAGTCCAGCGCGGTGGGATCCCTCTCGTCGTAGGGCTCGACATTTGGGTGGGACTCGGACGCATTGCGGCTATCGTTGCGCTCAGCCTCACGCTGGCCATACGGGTCCAGTTCCAGGTCGAAGAACCAGGCGAAGCCGTGGCCAATCTTGGACCATGCAGAAGACATGTTTCAGTCTCGTGCCGTGCGCCAACCCGGTTACTGGTACACAGCGGGAAGCCGTCGACGGCGCTCGGTACTCGCCAAGAGGCGCTTTATTCGTGCCGGCCGGCAAGCCAGAGGTTTCGCCTCGGTGTTTCGGCGCGAGAACGTATATTAACCCCCCCCCTCAGAGCTTGACAGGGCGAGCGACAGCGGGAGCGGGAAAAGGTGGATGAGGAAGAGACCAGCGGAACAGCGCGATCAGGCTAAAAGCCAGGCCTCTCTCATCGATATCAGATCAGCGCGCGGGTCGAAGACGACTGGTCTCGTCGGCTCGGTGGGACGGACACAGCTGCATGGCACGGTGGTATTTAACATGATTCGGAAGGTGAGAAAGGGCCGAAGAGCTCGAGGGGCTCGAGACCTTTGCGAGCTTGGCCTCGGAGAGGCAGATGGCGCTACGACGCGGCATCATTGTGCGACGAAGCTTTGCTCCCGTTTTTTCGTCCGCTTTAGGCTGCGGCCGCGGGAGGTCTGGTCTGGCTGAGAGCAGAGGCCGACGAACGAGAGCAGGCGTAGATGACGAGATGTGGGTCACGGATGGTGTGCGCGCGCGAGATCGCAGGGGGTGTACCGCCCACGACGACGTCGGCGTGTACTGACACTATGACGGCGCAGTCGACCGAGTACACGTCCAGTACAAGCCGAATACTTGGTTGCAAATATAAACCAAGCATTTCCACCAGGCGTTTCCAAGCCGTCCAAGCCATCCAAGCAGTTGTCAAGCATTCGGACAGATCGCGGACGTAGGTACCTGCCGCGTTCCTTCGCCCTCCCGCAACCTCCGACTCCTGATACTATACCACATCCATTCTACCAAGGCCGGCCACGATTACGCCACGGACCTGGCACCCCATGCCTAGCTACGGCCTCGCCTAAGGCGCCAGAGCTAGTCCTGGGCGTGTAACCTACCTACCTACCTACCTCATCACCGCTCCCTGCCTCTCCCTGCCTGTGCTAACCCACCAGCTCCCAAGCAAAAAGCCCAATCTCTCCAGACCAGCTTTTCTGGGCCAGTGGGGGGCAAATCCAACTGCTCCATCCTCTGTCTGCCCTCGCTGTGTCGAACCGGGGCAGAAGAGGGGGGAACTAGTTGGTACAAGGCCTCTCGCTACCTACACGAGACGTGCCTACCTATAGACGGCATCAGTGTCGCCCCAGCCCGCATCCCTCTGCCTGTCCAGACCGGATATCATCCACTGTCATCACTGCCGCCGCCACCACCATCGCCGCCGCCTCCGCCTAGCGTCCTACGAGTCTCCGTCCAGGCCCTAGACTCGCCGAAGCTGAACGGGGGTGTGGGTGGCTAGCTCGCCCACCTACCTACTAACTCACCCCATCAGCAGCTGCAGACAGGAGGCCGCACAACTCGGGGGACAGGGGAAGGGAGCGTGGGTGAAGGGACACAAACCACAGCCCCAGCCTATGGTGATAATAACTATGAGGTAAAAGCATAACATCTGTCATTCAACACATCGCAAACGTGCTCGCTTCTCCTAACCTATTTAGACATACACCCGCGATATCTTCCTTGGCGATAGTCTTCCCACGTACGACACGATCACTGTCGCCAGATTATGTAGACAACCGGATAGCCCCTAGCTCGCCATCCAAGAGGGTATGAGACCAGGTTTACTAGAGCCAATGCCCATCCTTACATACATCACCTACGTCGGTGGCTTGGCCCAAGTCCTAGACCATCGATTACCCAGCTCCCGCCGTGCTACTCGCCCCACGGGCATACCGAACCCCTAATCGGGGTTCCCCGGGAACGGATTAGCTGGCTTGCGGAGTCTCCCTGTCTTGAGGGAGGTAAGGCACGGTCTCGACCGCGGACGGAAAACTCTGTTACCACCTCGCGTGACGGGTCTCGCCCGTAGCCGCATTAATATTATCTGCTCTCTCGGTCGTCAGTACGGCCGTCGATGATGGAGCTAGTTGAGTGACTAAAAAATGTGGACATCCCCGGGGACGGATATTCGACCAGAAAACCAAGAAGGTGTTGATACCCATCGATACCTGTATTCGGGCATCTCGCCGAAGCCAATTCGAGGAGGCCTATGCATACATGGAGAGAGCTGAAGAGCTAGCTGGGGAAGAAGAAGAAAAATGGGCAATCGAGAACAACCTAGGTGGCGTATTAGCACTATTACATCTCATAACGACAACGTTGTGGTCATGCGCGGTATCTCGCCGTCGTTTAGTAGGCCGGCAAGAAAGCAACTTCTCATCGTATTATCGGTGCCCAAATTACCGAGGCGATTTTATATTCGGAAGCATATGCAACTCTATCTACCAAGAGAACCCCGTCGGTATATAGGAAATCATAGGTGCCTACAGGTAAGTATTATATGGGTTAAGTAGGTATAGGGCGCGCGGCAAGCGATAATACCTCTGCTACATAGGTATTATTCATGCCTTCTAGGTTACCTCTCTACACCTATTACCTATTCCTACAAGTACGTTAACCTACGAGTATTGACACAGATACCTAGGTATTATGATGCGCCGTACGAGAGGATACCGACTCCTATCTCCTGGGTGACAATATAAACCTCCAGGTTCAACTGGTTCGCCCCGGCCGCCTTTCGTATGATGATGAAACGCCCGTGACTGGGTACTTGGTTTTAATGGGGGCCCGGACCACCCGCATTCTCCCCATCGACGAGTGGAGGCCCCAAGAAGCCGGATTCGGGGCATCATCCGTGAGATCGGGAAATCGGGCCGTTAGGAGAGCACATCGCTCCGAATAATAATCCGTAGTCATCAGATACCCATGCTATAATATTGCATTAGGTGCATATGCAATATTAATGTCCTTTCATCCGGCGTTGCAAAATCCCCTTCGTGACTATTGACCCCATTTTCCTTTTCTTTTTTTTTTCTCCATCGCGTCATGAGATGCAGAAACTCAGCTAGTACGCAAGGAGGCAAGCGGCTGAATTGCCCATGGTTTCGGCACGTAGAGACCACCGTAGTTTAAGACGTCGAGACAATGGGGAATGTCGAAGGTGCTGATGTCGCGGGAAAGGGGTAGAGACTTGCCTGCATCTTCTGGGTGGGGGTGACATAGGGGAGTGATATTCTACAATAATGTTGATTTTATGCGACAGGGGGAGGAAGTAGTCGTCGAGTTGGGCATAACTTCTTATACGTCATGCTAAGAGACTATGTAACGGCATCGCGTTGGCGTTACCGTGTATCGTGCGTGACTACGTACGTCTGTTGCTGTCGTCCGTCATTAGAAGCAGTCTCATTTCCCGATCTGGGTGCGCTTGAGGGTGGGACAGGGCAAGATGCAATCCTCGTAACCTGCAAGTATAAGTCTGGGTGGTTGAGCAGATTAATGCAGTGGCTCCTATCGTAGGTGTGTCCCGTGGACTTTGTAACGGGCGGCCGAAGGTGGTGTTGCGCACAAGCAATTATGTAACCCCTTATTGCATTGACTCTTTGACAGACTACATTCTCCGTCTATATATATCGTATCAATTAGGCATGGAGGATCTCCGTATCTGGCCTGCAAAACCTCAAGTCCCAAATAGCTTATAATATCAAAAGTTAAGGTTAGTAGTATGAAAGGGGGTTCAGCTGAGGATCCTTCTCGTCCCGTCAGCACTCTTACTCGTTAAGCCCTCGCATAAGTGACAACTAAGCGGGTTAAGCGCTGAGCTTCCCGCTGGCGGCGGGGACAACTAGTATTAAGCCGTAGCCTCAGCATGTGCTTTACATATCGAGGCCGGGTTTCGCCCGACAAGGAGACTGATGTCCACCGCCTAAGATTCCATTTCAGTCCTTTGGGAAGCAGTACGGAAGTGGAATTTCCTGGCATTTTGGCACACCATAAACACCCAAGCCTTGTTATTCGAATTTGAGGACCATGATGTCGTGATTCTGGAAGGCTATTACCCTATCTCCCGTGCCCAACAACTATTACAAGGGACACCCTTATATCTCACTCCTTCACACTCGCCTATACAGCTATATTATACCAACCTCAATGTCGCCAATAGCTCATTCAGCTTCCAGTAGCCATTCCCCTCATGATGAGGCAGTAGAACGGCGCTAAGCAGCCACTAACTGACAGCATACGAGCACGATATTGCTGCTAGTGTGGGGGGAACCCAATGGGGGTTCTTTCAGCTTGCGAGGGCTGGCATTTGAAAACGTTCTAGATCTCTAACATTTATCGAATGGCAAAAGGCCAATTAGCTAGCGGGTTAACATGCCTACGTTTAACTCGGGACAGGTGAAGCCGAAGCTTGTCGCGGAACAATGACTGCCCGATATATTTCATGAACCGATTGCGCCGTACACACTCGGCGCCTTCTCACCAGACTGCAGCGCCGGGCATGTCGACGAAAGCAACCTGGGCTGTTTTGTGATGAGGCTATATGCACACTTAATTGCTGGAAACCTCCCTTCCCCTCTTTCCGCCTAGAGGCGTCACCATTCTTCCGTGCCTATAAAATAACTATAGGCCCGATCAAACGACCGAATGCTGCAGGCTATGCTCGACTCAGGCCAACGCACAAACAACACCTCCCACCTAATACCTTGGTACGTCTCGCAGATTTACGTAGTATTCGGTTCGTGGTGGTCGTGTGCGGTTGTTGAAGTGTTCTCGAACCCAGCAGCAGTTAGGAGGAAGAACCAGACAAGAGTCTGAGAGCACACACACATACATATATATACATACTTAAATGGACTTACAGGTATTTTTTGACGTTATTGATACTGATATGCTTAATGGCCAACAGATATCGATTCTTAACTACTAATCGGTGCTTTAGGTCTCAGACACAGGCGAGCTTCAAAATTGAAAGTTGATACATATAAGTACGGGTTTCGATACTCAGGCGGCGTATCGATACAATAATAATATAACCGCCGCAGCCCCCCCCGGACGTTATAAAGTCCCCGGAACTGTTTAACAACACCCAGCTCTGCTATGAGGTATATCGTAGCCCCAAACTAGCAGCAGTCGCAGCTCTGATTCGAAAGTAGTTGAAGAGAGAGAGAGGGACGATGCAAGGAGAGGTCTCAGCTCCTACCGGAATTCTATCATCGCACCTATGTAACTCCTTCAGAACATATCAACCAATAAATCGTATCACGATAAGCTAGCGTTCCGCCTCGATTCCGAGCGTCCGGTGACTCCAAAAGATGATGCTGGGGACCGTGTGTTATCGTCTTGAAGACGACACAAGCCCCCCCCCCCCTTCGCACCAGCCTCATGCCGCCTTCAGCTTATTGGTCGCTGTAGTGGGTGGAGAGACGGAGGTCTCTTCTTGCTAGCAGTTATCTCTCCCTTATAACGGCGGTCCTGCGCCCTCCCGGCAATATGTAGGTAGATACGTCGTATATTACTGCATGTAGTCAAGAGACATGGATCTCATACACCCTCCTGAGCATCGAGATGGTGGCGGCATCTGCTTACTCATCATGAGTAATCGCTAATCGCTGTAGGGTTGGCCGAGGAAGTTTCTCTCCCCCTTCTCTGACGCCCTTCCTGCGCGAACCTGCACGTGTGTCCCGCATCGCAGGCATGCTATCCCTCATTAGAGCATCCGGTTGGCGCCGTGGATCGACAAATCACGGCGTCTGGCCAGGAAATAAATAGCCTCGCCGGTCCTCACATATATTCGTGGGACAGTAGGTACCTAAGGAGGTGCTACGGCGCCAGGCTGGGGGGGTTGCGAAGCTCGGTGCGTAGGGATAGCAAGGATGACGGCGGCGATGGCCCCGAAGCCGGTCAAGGTCTCTCTGAGGTTTGCTTAATGGTAATACGGGTAGGTGGGCTCTTCTTACCTACCTACCAGTCCGACCCAAGGCCGCCGTGATGGTGTGGTGCTGGAGGAGCCCGCCGTGCATATACCTCCGGCTGTACACCAACACCAACACCACACACCACACCACCAATTTGGAGTGGGCATATGTGTGCATACCTGACAGACCATCCCTGCGTATGGGGTAGGTCACAGGTAAAGGCAGATAGGCAGTAGGTATGTAGGTAGGCCATAGACACATAGGTATCCGTAGAAGATTAGTCCTCACATACCTAGACGATTGGCGCATGTAGTGGCCGTATCAAGGCACATTTACAACAGGTAAGTTATCTGAGGAACCCGGAGGTATTGCGTCGGATGTCCCCCCCTCCATTCTTTCACTTCATCAGTTGCCCTCTTTCGATTTGTACCTAGAGCGCGCGGCATATTCCGATGGTAGGTAGTTACATGTAGAGGTCTTACTCAGGTATTCATGTACCTAACCCTGGTACCTACGTCATGGTGGAAGATGGGGTAGGTAGGTACCTATATTGAATTGTACGTAGGTACCTCCTTAGTGAAGTGCAGGGCCACTATGCAGGTACCTCAGATTACGTCTATGCCTTTCGAAGTACCTAAAGGACCTAGGTACCTAAGTCATCAACCGCCCGCCTCCGGCTTCCACAGCTGCGTACCTACTACCTAGGCGATGTTCAAAATATGCATGCGTGGTACCTACCTAGGTACCTCGTAGAGGTATGTAACCTGGAGCTCAGTGGGTTAGATAATAGAGGATAGGTTCGATTCCTGACAGCGCTACTTGGTAGTCTCTATTGTTTAGCCTATCTCCTGGTACCTTGTATAGGTGGACACCAGTGAAAGTACCCAAACGCACATACCCATGATTAGGTATCCCTATATATACATTAGGAGGTGCTACCTACATGCAAATGCAGCTAAGCCAATAAGTTTTATTCCCCTCTCCCCTCTCCCCCGGACCAACTACAAACAGCAAACCCACACAACCCACCACGAGCCTCCCACCAACTGCCCACGCCTTGGGATCTTTCCCTTCCTACACCACCTCACCACGCCTCGCCTCATCTCACCACCAACGCTCCCAGGAACTCCTACGAGAGCAGAGACCCAGGCACGACACTAATCCAACCAGCCTTTGCTCGACCCTGGTGGCCGATTTCCGCCTGCCCGAAATGAACCCTCATCAGAAGAACAAGATTGACGTCAAGGTTGGTTTTCACTCCCAAGCCGCCTAGCCCATCCCGCTCCGTGACCTCGGTTCCATCGTTGGGCTGGATACCTCCTACCTCCCCTCTCCCCAAGCAACAAGCAGATAGACGGCGCGACTTCTGCTGGCTCCCGTCTTTCAATTGCAATTCGATGTGTCTGGGGCACGCTTCTTTGTCCTGCGTCCGAACCGCCCATCCCAACCCACCACCACTCTCACCCTCTTGATAACCCGTCCATCCGTATAAGCACGCACTTCACTGCACTGCACCGCACCGCACCGTCCCTCACCTTCGATGGCAACGACTGCATCCCCGTACCCCAACCGCTTGCCCGTGCGGATCACACTGCTGACATGGCACGCACACCTCGCTACCTACAGTCGCTATCGCCCGACGAGCAGCGCCTGTTCCGCCTGTACGGCAAGCTGCCCTCGAAGTCGGACCACTTCGCCAAGCATCTGAAAGAGCGCAAGTATTTCGACAGCGGCGACTACGCCATGTCCAAAGCCGGCAAGGGCGACAGCGTCGACACAGGCAGCGTCGGCAGCCAGCATCCCGTTCCCGAGAACATCCCTCACCTCTCTTCCCCGACTCAGAACGGCAGTGCCACCGGACACGGTCACCAGCACCACCCCAGCTTCCACAGCCAACAGGTCATAAACGCATCCGGGTCAGCGTCTGCCGCTGGGAGCCCCGTCAAGGAGAGTAGCTTCCTCCACCGCGAGACCAGTGCCGACGATAACCCTGGCCCCGATGCCGAGAAGGAGAATGCGCTCGCTAGACCGACGCAAGAGGCCGACGCAAAGGACATACCTATCCGAAGATAGGCCGCTCTAGCCATATTTTCTACGGCAGAGGAGAATATCCAAGCCGAAGAAGTAATGGCGGCGGACATGGGCGAGTGAAGATGGACGAATACCAGGGTTTATGTGGCCTCTACCCGGCCTGATCGCTCACACCTATCGCTGCTATGACTGTAACTCCCCCATTGGCGCACGCCTTTGGTGTGGTACAGCTGCAGGAGCGAGAGGCTGGCATACAAGGGAGGGAGAGTGCCAGGGACGGGTGACCAATTCGCCAACAAGGTTAGCCCTTTGTAATGGTTATGAGGACTGAAATACCTACTTTCCGCCTGGCGTCTTCTTTTCCTATTTCCTTTGCTACTGTTCTTCTCCATCTTGTGGCGTTAGGGGCAGGTACGGGTGCGTTTCATGTGATGTGGTTACGACCGGTAAAGGGAACTGAAATTGAAGTTATAATTACCGAAAAGGAAGAAAAAGAAGCAGCCAAAAGAGGCATTTGTGGAGTACGACCGTCGCTCCCATATTCATCCTTATCATCGTTGCGGTCTATTCTCTAAACTATTCAGGGAAGTCTCTGGCGCCCGCAGGCTCCGGTTTGTGGGCCGCTTCGACGAGCCGAATTCTAGCTGTTTGTGTCGGGTCGTTTCTCTCTTACCCGGATACGATTCGGCATACGCCTGCGAATCCTAGAGAGGGGGCCGACACCTCATAACTGGTTTCCCGGCCGGTCGTTAAACATCATGTCTGTAATTTTCGGGGTCTCTCGAGTGTCTTGTCTCTTAGGTATTTCATCACTGTATCTCACGGGTGTCTGGGGTCGCGTTCGGGGTCGGCGGGCACGGAAAGGAGTGTTTTTTAAAAAGGGGAGACGAAGGTGGGAGAAAATTCTAGTATCTTTTTACACCCGCCGCGTTGCGCCAACGCCTGCTTTTAGTGCATGCCCCGTGAGAATCCGCCAGTATCGTGTTGGCATCTCTATCTGCCGTCGTACCCGTCGACCAAGCAGTAAATGCATCAACTAGCATACTCTCCTCCTCGGCAGCGTAGCCTGGGGTTTCACCCCGGGACGAGGATGTTTAGCTCCTAGGCAGGTCCCTCACAACCGCCCACTTCCCCCTTTATCTAGCTTTCCCCTTCTCTTACTATATACGGCACCCTTCCCGCCGCCCTCGCTCGAGATCTCAAAACCCCTAGCGTCGCCTCAGAACGCGCAGGCCTTCTCGGCAAGGGCGCGGACGCCGTCGAAAGATTTGTGACCGCCGGTGAAGCCAGAGGCGTGAACGAAGACGCCGCCGGGCACACCGGTGATGGTATCGAGGTCGGCGTCACGTGTGCCGCGCCACGGTTCCGGCAGCGCCTTTCGGCTCTGGTAGGAGTCCTTGCTCACGCCCACGGCCTGGATCCGCCACTTGGCGCCCGGAACGGGCTTCTCGGGGTACAGGACGTAGAGCACCTTCTGGAAGGCGGCGCTTCCGCCCTCCCCCTGCTCCCGCCCCAGGCGCTCCTCCTCCTCCTCCTCGAGGGTGTAGAGGTGGTCGACCCAGGGCACGGACTGGCCCTCGAAGACGAGGACGCGCCCCGCGGGGTCATAGCGGTGGCGGGCGTCGTAGGCGGCGCGGACGATGGCGCGCGCCGGCAGCCAGGAGGTGACGAAGAAGTCGAGGTCGCGCTCGAACTCCTCGCCGATGCGGGCGCTCGCCGCGCGGAAGCGCGCGTCCTCGGCCGCCTGGGCGGCAACCGGGTCGTCGGGAACGGGGTCGTTCCAGCGCGGGTTGAACCGTGAGACGAGCGCGGCCAGCGAGAAGCCGCCGGAGCGGAAGCGGCGGCGTAGGCCGGCCTGAGCGAGGAGCTCCGGGTCGTACGGCTCGATGCCGTTGTCGTTGGCGTCGACGGGCTCGACGAAGGACTCGTAGATCTTGCGCCAGAGGAGGGTCACGTCCTCGTCCTCGTCTTCGGCGGCGGGGTCGGCGGGGGCGTCGGCGCGGGGACGGCCCAGCTTCTGGGCGACGAGGGCGCGGCCGAAGTGCATGTAGACGAGCCCGGCGCTGGAGAGCTTGGTCTCGCGGCCGGGGAAGACGGTGTCGAAGGACCGCTGGTGGTGGTCGAAGCGCCGCGCCGCCGGGTCGTAGACGCCGCCGACGTCGACGACGGTGTGGCAGGCGTCTAGGACGGCCGGGTCCCGGGTACGGACCAGGGAGGCGTCCCGATACGCGGGCAGGAGACGCAGCATGTGGAAGGCGAGGGCCTCGTCGGTGTGGAAGCGCCCGCTGTGGGTGCCAATGGCGACGGGGCCCCCAGCACCGGTGCTGGCGGGGACCGCGTCGGCGGTCTTGAGCCGTTTCGCCGCGTTCTCGGCCATCTTAGCCAACCACCGCCGGAGCATAAGAGTGTCCCCGCTTCCCTTTTCCCTTCTCTCTGACGGACTTGACTGTTTCTTTCTCTCTCTCTCTCCTTGTTCGGAAGGATGCTGGATTGTAGAGTCGAAGGTGGTCGATGACAGGAAGAAGCCTAACTGTGTAATGTAGGTAGGACTAGAGGCAGGCAGGCAGGCGGGTGGGTAGGTGAAGATGGTGGGGCCAAGAATGTCGAGGTTTTCAAGGGTCCAGATGGGAAGATGGGTGGTCATGAGCATTGCCTACGGTGTGATTCGTACCATCTGTCACGTGACCACAGGCTACACCCACCTAGCCTGAGGTGGGTGTGGCCCGTGGTCACGTGACAAATGGTACTTACAGCTGGAGGTACCCGATACAGCCAATACATGCCCGGTAGGTACCTACCTACTCCCTGGGCAGGATGGCGAGTAAGGTACCTGCCTGGGCAGGTCCTGTAGTGTACCTTCCTGCGTCCACTCGGGCAGGTCGACGGATATGTATGTATCGGGGCCATACAATGCACCTATGCGCATCGCCGGGTTACGGAGTAAGTGCTGCTACTGTTGGGTAGGGTTGGTGAGAAAACGCGTGTCGGGCGAAAAAGAGGGAGGAGGATGCGCGGTAGTGGCGGCGTCGTTGTCAGGGAGGCCACGCAGGAATAATTGACGACCTCCTCCTAGGACCCTGGCTTAGCCTCCTCCCAAGCTACCCACCAGAATTGCCCTCCCCTTCGTCTACGGGGATCGGATTGTATTGTATACGGGGATTGAGTAGGGTAGCGTATCGTACAAGTGCGCGCCTCTCTACCGAATCTCGCTCCTGGCTGTGTCTCCAAGCCAGTCAGACAGATATCCACCTCTTACTCCCTCTCTCTGCTTTTCCTTTTCGTTGTTGTTTCTGACGTCGGCACGTACGGTCGGTCCAGCTTCAACAATCAGCCTGCCGCGCCTGGCAGCTCATTAACTAATCACGAACCTTGCTTATTACCACTCAAAACTGCGAAGGGGAGGAAGAGAAGAAATCTCCCTTCTTCCCCTCCCAAAAAGAGAGGTGGAAGAAAAAAAACCGTCCGAAAATCTCTCGCCTCTTCAATTCTTCCCTGTTCGTCAATCGTTCATTCACTTAGCCGACCAGCCCACCCGACCATCATTTTATTTCCAGCCCCCTTCCGACGTCTAACACACACGACGCAGATAACACACCCGAGCCCTTTTCTGCCAACAGCCTGGCCATTTCATCACCACATTTCATCCCTTCGGCACTCCGCATCCATCGTCGCCGTCGCTCTTGCTGCCTCGCAGCTCCACCACTCTTCACGCGCCGCGAATCCTCCAGTCGGCAATGGATCGAGCCTCTATCAAGGCTGAGTTCGGCAGAGATGTCGATCACGATGATGTGCAGATGGCCGAAACCCGACCATCCTACAAGTCCTGGAAGAAGAAGTATCGCAAGATGCGCATCAAATTCGACCAGCAGATGCAGGAGATAGAGACCCTGCATAAACTCGAACAAAAGGCTATGCGAACAGCCAAGCGCCTAGCCATCGAGAACGAGTGAGCAGCCGTCCCTTTACCCTTCCCTCCCTCCCCAGCTACCTTTCACCCCCTCTCTTGCTCGCTTCCTTTCTTGCTTCCCTACTGCCTTTCTCCACGCGCATGCACGAAACGAAGTGGGATGCTGATGATGACACCCTCCGCTTCGCAGTCGGTTGATGGACCTCCTGGTCGATATCAACGAGTCGCCTCAGATTCCCTTTGAGCGACGCATAGACCTGAATTTGGAAGATGAGGAAGACGATAACGACTCCGATGCCACTCAGAAGCCTACGAAGTCTCTGCGAAGGCTGGAGCAGGAGGTCCCGCACAGATCGTATGCTGCTACTGTCGAGCAATTCCCCGAGATCCTGGACGACCTCGATCCCGAAGAGCCCGCCATACATCCTACCTCGTTCCTCACCGCCGACGACATCGACGAATATCTCCACGAGCTAGACCAGCAATTAAAGCTCAAGCCGAAGCCGTCGCTCGCGCCCAGCGTCCTGGGCAAGGAGGTTTCGAATCCGGCTGCCAATTTTGCCCTCCGAAACCCAACGAGCGTATACAATTGGCTGCGGAAGCACGCGCCCAAGACGTTCCTACAGGATCTTGAGAAGGAGAAGGATAAGGAGAAAGCAAGGGAGAGGGACAGGGAGAGGGAGAGGGACGACCACGGCGAGCGGGATGACGACGGGCGCAAGCGGAAGAACGGCGGCCCGCGGAACAAGAGGCAGTCGACTGGCGGTCGCAAGGAAAAGGAGGCCGTGGAACCAGCGGATTGGGACGAAGACCTAGGTTTTGATCTGCCCAACGCCGCTGCCAAGGGGAAGAGGAAGAGGGACGAGGACCCGGGATACAGACCCAAAGGCGGATCGAGCCGGCCGGTGAAGAAGCGCAAGAGTAGGGATTTCGGTTCTATCCCGTCCAAGGGCTCGCGAAAGTCCACTGCGTAGCCTGGCATCCTCTGCTCACACTGCCGCGTGCTGTCGGATGGTACCACCGAGGGACGGTTGCTACCGAGAGGGGAGGGGTTATAATGCTACGATACGGTCAGAGAGGTCGGTTCGTGATCCGGAAGACGGCGTTCGAGGTCGGCAACGAAGGGTATATAAATAATGCACGATTGCCAAACTAAGCTTCTCTCTTTTTTTTTCTTTCTTTTTTAAAATATGTTTTTATGTTTAGCGAGTGGGCAATGGCGTTCGCAGTGCCGCGCTGGCGGTATATGGCAGCCTTCATCCGGCGAATGTTGACGGATATCCATTCAGGGGAGGCAGCTGGCGATGTAATTCTACAATGGGGGCATACCGTGTTCTACGGAGTCGCGAACTGCCATATATTTGTTCATACATGCAATACATAGGTATGCATATGTACTTATACGCATGCCCAGCGTCGAGACGTTACCTGTAGGAGTGCACAGATTGATTGGCCGGTTGCGTGGTTGCGTGGTTGCGTTACCGACACGCAGGTTGCACCCTTCTCTTTCTCGATGACTCTACCGAAGCTAACCTGGCAGCTTTCAGCTTTTTCCCGCTATTCCTCACCTCTCGCAGGAAAGAGGAGAAAAGGACCTCGTGGAGAGACCTGGACATATTTGCGCGGACCTCGCGATTGAGAGACAGGCGTCGAAAGTCACTCAGTACCGAACTGGTGTGTGCAATTTCGTATACTGCGTCCCGATCGATTTGGCGTACGGCTGGTTGTTATTGCTATGACGGGCGCTGCCAGCTCCCCACCCTCCCGTCGCTTTGCCGATAGAGGACAAGTGTATGGAGAATACCACATCTTACAACAACTAGGCCGGACGCCCGATTAGAAACCGCACGCCCCCGCCCCCGCTTCCAAGACAAATTATGCCTGAGCGCCGGACGTACGTGGTTGAGCACCTGGACCCGGAGCTGGGCGCGTGGTCGGAGCTCGAGTACGCGGCGATCGCGCGGGAGACGACGTCGCGCGGCGGAACCTTCATCCTGTCCTCCCTGGCCCCGACGTTGCGCGTGCCGCCGAGCCTCGAGCGGGTCCCGGGCTTCCGCGCCGAGCGGCGGAGCGCCGAGGAGCTATTTTCGGCCGGGGGCGGCGGGAAGGCGGAAGGAGAAGGAGGCGCTGCGGGAGGGGCAGGAGAGGAGAGGGTTATCTCGAGGGAGAGGGTGTGTCTCCTGGACCCGCAGGCCCAGAAGGACCTCGACCCCGACGACAAGCGGCTCTTCGACGTGTTCTTGTTCGGCGGCATCCTCGGTGAGTGGTCGGGCATCCCCCGAGGAGACGGGGAGTGGCTAGCTTGCTTGCCTAGGCCGGGGACAGGTTCGCAGCCGAGGGAAGAAGAAGGACGGTAGGGTATCGGAGCGGTAGGGTGGCTAAATGGCTGACATATACATGTGCGTACTTCTCAGGAGATGATCCGCCACGAGGTACGCCGTTCTACCCCCGTCTTTCAGTCTTTCTCTCTACATCTTTCCTTTTCTTTTTTTTCTTGACCTCCTAATTATTCTGCTTTACCCCGTCTCTTGGTATAGGATAGAGATGGGACAGCAGACACAGCATTAGAAGGACCCGCAACGCAGTAATCAAATGAACAGACGGCCGGGATCTCAAGGCTGACGCGCGTACGTATAGATCGGACGTCCGAGCTGCGCATGAAAGGCTTCGAGGGCCGCCGGCTGGGCCCCGTACAAATGACAACAGACACGGCGGTGCGGGTGACGCGGATGGTTATCGAGGAGCAGTGTGAGATTTCCCTGTCCTCGTCTATCTCTCAAACCCCTTTGTTCCCTCAAGACCCCGACCCGCACAAATCTCGTGCCCATATTCCCCTCTTGACCCCCTTAAAAGGGCTTCTAACCGAAGCGTCCCAAGTCCTTCGGCTGGCTGAGGAGCAACGTATGCACATATAAAGTGAAGAGCTAACGCGCGCGCTCGCCCGCAGTCACGCTCAACAAAATCCCGTACATCGACTTTCCCGAGCTCCGGTTCAACGAGCACGAGAGCACCGAGATGCCGTTCCGTTACGTGTGCGGCGATGACGGCCGGCCCGTCATGCCCGAGGTAACGAGTTCCGCTGCCGCTCCCTCATTTCCCGCGTCCCTCTCGCTCCCCGCCCCATCCCCCCCATCTCTTCCCTTACAATATATCCGATTCCCTATATGCCCGCAGCCCCTACGCACCATCCCTTCATCGACCCCAAGAAAAAGTATAATACGCGCTGACGCACAGCACCAGGGCATGCTAGATCTCATCAGGAGAGATGCCGACAAAGGTATTGACGACCTGTTCTAACGGCCGGCCACAGCCCCAGCGTGTACACCCCAACATCTCAATCCACCCATCCGCGCCATATATCCTTATTCCAGGCGAACGAACCGTACGTCAAGCGAGCTGCGAGCCAGATGCATCTTGCGACCTGATAGGAACGGACTGGACTAGACTTGGCCACCCCTGGGGAAGTTTTCCATGAGTAGACGCATTCGGCGATGTTGAGACAAAGTTGATCTCGGCGCTACTACGAAGTCAACAAGGGATCACGCAGGGGATTTGATGGCAGGGACGGGGCGAAGGGGACCTTATCAGGACAGATGTGACTCAACAAAGAAATACGCCAGCGTCTGTTTGAGCAGCGTGCCCATTCCGTCTTCCCTACACCTACGCGCATCTGCTGCTCGTCTAACACCTATCCGAGACGAGACCTAGGCACCTCTTTCGCAAGCTGTTAAGTCTGGATATGCGCACTCCCCCCTGCCCTTCAGCCAATGCCGTAGTGGGTCCTCGGACGGTACCACGTGTACGGGGACCCCATCAATTCTCGTTATCGAGGTCGACGTCCATATACCCCACTCTTCCATACCCCCTCTCGTCGTCCTCATCGTTGTCGTCGTCGTCCTCGGGCCCCATGTACGGGTTCTCGTCTCTGTCGTCGTCGTCCTCCTCCTCTTCCTCTTCCTCTTCCCCTTCCTCTTCCCCTTCCTCTTCCCCTTCCTCTTCGTCGTCATCGTAGATATCTTCCATCCTTATGTCGTCGCCGTCGTGTTCCTCCTCTCCAGACTCGCCTATCCGCTCTACTCCACCCTCACCGCCTCCTTCTCCCTCTTGCAGTTCGTCCCACCGACTCGGCGTAGGCATTGACCCCGCGACCAGCAGAGACCCAACCCTTTTAACGTCTGCACTTTCTCCCCCCCTCCCACCACCCAGAGCAACATATCCTGCCCCTCCGCGTATATTCAGCGTGCGTAATAGATCAGATCCGCCGGCAGCGGCGGTGGCAGCGGTGCCACGTCGCCTCCTTGGCCCGCGCATCAGGCTCCCACGAAGCAGGCTTAGCCCTCCCCTGCGGTATCGGTCGTACTTGCGATGATGAGGAGGAGGATAAGCGTAGCATTCAACACCTCCCATCTTTGCGCCCCTCTTAGTGATACCGCTTCCTCGAACCGCCACCCGCCGCGGGCGTCCTGGGGGCGCCGAACCCGGCCGCTTTTCCATGCCGCGCGCTATAACTGTGACCTCGTCTCGCTCGCCGCGGCGCCGCTTCAGCGCGATTAGGCTCGCGAGGAAGTTTCCCTGGTCGATACGCGACTGTGATGCCCATTTCTCAGGTGGAGGGACCGAGGGGTTTGGCGCGTCGTTGTTGCTGCTACTGCTGATCGTCTTCTCGGCAGCTCCGGAAGGGGGGGCGGCAGAAGCGGTGGTGGAAGAGGAGGCGCCGTGCCACCGCTTGAGCGCTGCGTTGTCTTTGGGTTTGAGCTGCTTCTCCTTAACGGTGATGCGCGCGCAGCTCGCGGCTAGCAGCTCGACGTCGTGGCCGAGGCAGCGCAGAGCGGGCACGGGGTTATCGTCGTCGCGCCGCGTCAGGAGCAGCTCAGTGCCGGCATTCTGACTCCACTGGCCGGCGTAGACGTGTCCCCGGTACGAGATGACGGGGTGGTGCGAGTGGAGCTCGAGGATCTGGACCTGGTGGTCGTCGTCATCGTCGGTGGCGTCTGAATTGTGCTTCGGCGGAGGACGCTGCCGCTGCGACGGCGCGTCCGCGCCATCGTCGCTGTTGTCGGGACTGGCACCTCCCGGGCCCATGCGTCTATTCAGGTACAGCTTGGCTCGTTCGGCCTTCTCGCCGCCACGGTAGCCGCCGCGGTTAGCAGTGCTAGCTTCACGGCTCGCGAAGTCGATCTTGGATAGGTCGAGAGTCACGTAGAAGGTCTTAGTTTGCACGGCTTAGCCAACGCCGAGATAAATATAGAGGCAAGCAAAGAAACGAGTTGAGAGGCGACTCGGAAGGGAGAAGGAGTAGGCTTACCTCGGTCTCCGTCTTAGAGTACTCGTATTCCCATTCCGATTCTTCCTCGTGTAAAGGCGGCCGACCATCTTGATTTGCGGGAGAAACTAGCGGGATACCACCAGCGGACAGGCGAGGAAAGCTCTCGCATGCTATGCCGGCGCTAGCCATTTGGTATTTTCGGGAGGAGAGCGCGGCGGGTCAAGAAGGGATAGGAGGGAAGAGGGTGGGCATTGAGAGAAGGGAGGAGACGAGAAATGAAAAAGCCCCTCCCCTCCCCTCTGATGATGTAGTGAATGTGGGCTTAAGTTAATATTTGCCTGTTTTTCCCTCTTGTTCTTCCCAGTGAAAGAAGGAGAGCGGAGGGAGAGGGAGAGGGAGAGAAGTGGTTGTAGTTGAAGATTACCTACGTCTTCCCTTAACATCAAAGAGGAGCAGGGGCCTATGCAATGCTACGCACATACCTATACCTATACATTAGGTAGGTCACATCAGGTACCTGTATACCCCGCCTAAGGTACCTGACAACACACGACTTGGTGGGGGTGAGGTCACATACCTTAGGTACTTACACCGAAAGGGGCGGAGGGAGGGAGGGGTAGGTACCTCTGCTGATAGTGGGATTCTATCACCACTTATCTTCTTGAAGTACTGCTAAGGTACATATTTCAGGTACATTCTCTTGACTCAGCCCATATTAGGAGTGCATACATGGGCCTGGAGCGGTACCTTTGCTACCTATAGAGGTGCCCGACGGAATGAAAGAAGTACCTGCGCTGCAGTGAAAGAAATACATAGGTAGGTACAGAGCAGGTACCCGACACTGAAAGTCCCCGTTTAGCACCAGCGACCTAATCCGCTGCCACTTGCCCCTCTGCCGAAATTCTCATCTCGATATTACATGATATTCCCCTTGGATGGGCGATCGAGGAATGAGTGAGTCAACCTGTCAGTCTGTCCACCTGTCCGCCTCTCAATCAGCCATCCCGACGGTCATCCAATGCAAACGAAGCCTTCAGCCACTCCCTCCGTCCGGCTCTCTTCCACATCAAGTTGCCTCGACCCTAGCTGGCATAGGAGGGGAGGAATCGTTGGGTAAATAATATTAATACTAATCTAGAGGTACATATAAATATCACAAATACCTCCTGAGAAGAACAGCGCGCATACACATCCCTCATTATATATCTTCTCCCCCCTCCCCCTCCTCCTTCTCCCTCTCTGCCATCCCCTCTCTCACGCGTGCCGCGCACACCTTCTTACACGTCTCTCGCCCCCAGGTCCCGCCATGACGCAGCAGGAGCCGCCGGTGAGGCCCGTCGTCCACTTGCTCGACTACGTCGCCGGCAACGTGCGGTCCCTCGTCAACGCCGTCGAGAAGGTTGGCTTCGCCGTCGAGTGGGTGCGTTCCCCCGCCGAGGTCGCCCGCGCCGAGCGCCTCATCCTCCCAGGCGTCGGCCACTTCGGCCAGTGCCTCGGCCAGCTCGCCGCCGCCGGCTACCTGCCCGCCCTGCACGCCCATGTCGACGCTGGGAAGCCCTTCATGGGTATCTGCGTCGGGCTGCAGGCTTTCTTCGACGGCTCCGATGAGGACCCTGCCGCCCACGGGCTTGCCCTCCTCCCCGGCACCCTCGATCGCTTCGACGATGCCGACAAGGCCGTCCCCCACATCGGCTGGAATGACGCCGACACCTCCGGCAAGAGCCTCCACGACCTGCGCCCTGGCAGTAAGTACTACTACGTCCACTCTTACAAGCTCCCTTACGTCCCCGGCCGGCTCGAGGCCCATGGCTGGACCGTTGCGACAGCCACGTACGGCTCCGAGACCTTCGTCGGCGCCGTCGCCCGCGGTAACGTCCTCGCGACGCAGTTCCACCCAGAGAAGAGCGGCGTCGCCGGCCTGCGCGTTCTGCGCGCATTCCTTAGCGGCGACGGCGCCAAGACACTGGGGCGCGAGGTCGCCGCCGCGGCGTCGCCGGCAGCGCAGGTGGGCGGTAGCGGCGGCAGCGGGCTGACCCGGCGCGTAATCGCCTGCCTCGACGTGCGCGCCAATGATGACGGCGACCTCGTCGTCACCAAGGGCGATCAGTACGATGTACGCGACAAGACGAGTGACCGCGGTGTGCGCAACCTCGGCAAGCCCGTCGATATGGCCCGGCGATACTACGAGCAGGGCGCTGACGAGATCACCTTCCTCAACATCACGAGCTTCCGCGACTGCCCGGTCGCGGACCTGCCTATGCTTGAGGTCCTGCGCCGCGCGTCCGAGACCGTGTTCGTCCCCCTCACCGTCGGCGGCGGCATCCGCGACACCGTCGACGTCGACGGATCCGAGGTCTCGGCCCTCGAGATCGCCGCCATGTACTTCCGGAGTGGCGCCGACAAGGTCTCCATCGGGTCCGACGCCGCCCTCGCCGCCGAGGAGTACCACGCCGGCGGGCGGCGGCTCTTCGGCAACACGGCCATCGAGCGCATCGCGCGCGCGTACGGCCGCCAGGCCGTCGTCGTCAGCGTCGACCCGAAGCGCGTCTATGTGCCGAACCCCGACGACGCCACGCGCCACCACACCCTCGCCACGCGCTTCCCCGGGCCCCGCGGCGAGCGCTTCTGTTGGTATGCGTGCACGGTCCGCGGCGGCCGCGAGACCCGCGACCTCGACGTCATTGAGCTCGCCGAGGCCGTCGAGGCCATGGGCGCCGGCGAGATCCTGCTCAACTGCATCGACCGCGACGGCACGCGTGCCGGCTTCGACCTCGAGCTCGTCGACCACGTCAAGGCCGCCGTCCACATCCCCGTCATCGCCTCGAGCGGCGCAGGCGAGCCCGCCCACTTCCGCGACGTCTTTGAGCGCACCCGGGTGGACGCTGCCCTCGGCGCCGGTATGTTCCACCGCGGCGAGTACACCATCCGGCAGGTCAGGGACTGCCTGGCCGAAGCCGGCTTGGAAGTGAGACGACCCGAGGGGGGGTTATGAAACCTACGACGGCAAAAATGGGGATCGAGCTGTCATGATAGAAGACGGGGTAGAGTGAGCGAAAAAAAAAATGAGCCGGCGATTACGGTGCGCCGATCGATTCAGATTCACGACACTCCCTGGCACGAAGGCGTTCTTGGTTTAGAAAAGATATACTAGAGGGGATAGACTTCTGGGGTGTATTGATAACAAAGTGGTGGCCAATCCCTTTTTGGACCCGACTGCGATTTTCAGTTAGGTCCCCTAAATCGACTTTTGTTCACGAAAGAGAAGAGAAGAGATGATACAGTAGGAATGACTGAATAGAAACCAGCGTACGGAAAACCCTCGATCAGTTGCGCAAGAGCGCCAGCTGAGAAACCCCCACCAAGTAAATCCATTCCAGAATACGGACTCTTCTCAAAAGCACCCCAGCATCTGGACAGGTCGGGATTGTTTAGACTAGCATTTGGAATCCAGAGACCCAGTTAGATTTCCATCCCCATGAACAACCATTTGTCGCTGGTGACGTCGACATCTCTAGCCCAGTGGTCGAGGGTGACCAAGTCAAACCCGACCCACTGAAGACTTCGCATTAATGATTTTGCGTAGTTGTGTGGCATCGAACGGTCCACGCAGATCACGATATAGGAGCATCCCATCGGGACATCGGCCAATTCGATCAAGGCAATGAGTCTAAAGCATCTAATGTTAGTAACGGATCATGCTACGGTGGGGAGGTCGACGGATGTGGGGGGATCTGGGGACTTGCGTACGCTTGTTTCAGATCACGACCAACAAGCCCGCTGTCGAAGAAGGCAAATAGCGACTTCTGGCCGTCGCCTTCAGCCGTGAAGGCCCGGAAGCTGGCACCCCCAGCGTAATCCCAAAACTCCATCCATCCATTAGCTCGGACGGAGGCGTCGATGGTGTTACCGGAGAAGGAGAGCTCAGATGTTTTCGTATAGTCATCGGGTGGCGTGAGCGCGCAATTAACACCAGCCAGGAGGGAGCCATTATTAGGCGTGTTCCACTCAACCTGGAACACGGCTTTCATGGTCTCGCAGAAGAATCTCTCACATTCTTCCCTGATCTGAAGTGTTGCCCCCCCTCGGCGGCTGCGGCTGTAGGGCGCGCTGTAGCTAGAGCTGCGCTTCTTGGAGCTTCTGGGCTGGAGCGCGAGCTCGTTGGAGGAGGTGATGGCCGCGAGGGGGGGGCTTGACGGGGGAGAGGGTAGGCCTGAGATGGGGACCTCAGGAATACCACTCGGCCCCTACGGTTTCCGGCAACGTCGTTGCTGATCAGCGCGCACGATCCCACAGAGGTGGCTTGGATGATGTCTCGGGTTCGGGGATGAACTCACCTGCAGCCCCCGTAGTGCAGTAGTGCAGTCCCTTCAGGGAGGCGGTAGGGTCGACGAGGTAGCAACTGGCGAGGACATTGACCTGACGGGCCACGACCTCGCCGTAGTTACTACTACTACTGTTACTTTGATTGGTTTTCATTGGCGCCATGATCACTGATGGAATCCAGGGCTATCGAGACTATCGAGCTAATAACACACAACGAAGTATAAGAATGCCGGCGAAAAGGATAGCCCGAGCGAAAGCGTAGCAGGAACGTTCGTCGGTCGGAAGGCGAGGTCGACTCAATCTTCCGCGATATTGACAAGGTTAATTGAGGGTATTAGGTTCGGCGGTCTTGTTGTTGAGGTCGAAAGTAGTCTCAGGCTTAGGCGATGGGTTCTCTTTTCTTTTCCTCAGCGAATCTTGGACAAATGCAGTTGCACCAGGTGGCAGAAGCGAAAGTGGCTTGAATTGTTACGGTTTATGGCAGCAAGAGACGAGGCGGAGAGGGGTGGGGTGGAAGAAATATAAACCATTACATATAAGCTGCCTTAGGCCACCGTAAGTTACCGGCTAAGGTACCTACCCCCGAATAATACGTCGGGTTCATCCGTAGTACCAGGCACCTGGGAAGATACCTACCTCCTATCTACCTCCTACCTTAGGTAGGTAGGTAGGTAGGTAGCCTGAGGACTGGGAGGGGATACAGCGGTCAGCGCCACCCCATTGCCTCCGGCAAGGTACTTACTACATGCTCAATCCTATGTAATACATACAAAACACATACGTAGCGACCATATACCGGGTACCTAGTACATGTATAGGCCGCCAACATTCCCGAGAGCAATCAATTCAATTCAACTCAAAGTAACCTTACCTAACTCTAGAAACGGCTAGACTCATACGAGTCGACCAATGATGCCGCCGAGTCCTCAACCGTGGCACCCTATAGGTCCATCACGTGCTTGTCAGCTAGTTAATCGAGCCAAATGGTTTGCGATTGGACTTCTGAGGGCCACGCTAGCACAGTTTGCCCAGTTTATGTGGATGCCGGCCAGCCACTGACCCCATCAAGCGGGTCTTCGCTCAAATGACAGGTCCACCTGAGTTTTTTTCTTCTACTGTGTACTCATATAAAGGTGGTAGGCCGGTGGACATCTGCGATCGCGCCTGTACCTCCTACGATTAGGTGCCTCCCTAACGATTAGGTACCTCTACTTAAGGACCTCAGTAAGCACCTACCTAAGCACCTCTCCTACCTCCGTGTAGGCACCTGCCTAAGAGAGCTTGGAAGTCAGACCCGAAGCCTGAAGCGTATCCCGCTACTGCCGGTACTCGAGCCCTGCATCAAGTCAGCATGAGACGGCGCTGGAATGTAGGCGTGTTATTCTATACCTGAGGTTAGGTACCTACCTGTGGTAAGCCTCGAACTACATATGTACTAGGTACCTACGTTCGACTGGGAAGATTGCTCGTAGGAGTCGGTCGGCTAAGTCAATCAGTCACATAATATTATATTGCCAATCACGTATAGTAGTAGTCGTCTCGTAGCCAGTGGTAAACATCCCTCATGACTCACTTTCGTACTAGTACCTTCTAGTATTTAAGTATCCTACCTCCTATGTCCTGGTACCTGCCTAGGTACCTAGGTAGTTACCTACCTCTAGGCCCAAGATAGATGCGCCTGCGCCTCATGGTCCTCCCACTTCTCATGACGTGATGCAGAAGTACCACGGGATCAACTTTGCACTGCAGCTGCTCCTCCTAACCTAACCTCTACCTACATGCGTTAGGTATATCTACCTATGCGTATGTCTCCATGTGCGTATCTACACGCGTATGTCTACATGCCTATTGTCGACGTGCGCAGGTATATCTACATGCGTATCGACATTTCCGTTAGCAGCGCGAGCCTGACTTGGTTGTCGCCCGCACCCTCCGAGGGTATTCCGTGCTTTACCCCTCCACGCCATTCCGCGAGTCTCTCCCCCCTCCCCCCTCCTCTTAAACGGCGCCCAGTGCCTCTTCGCTGTCCCTCCTGGAACCCCCTCCGTCCGTCCTGCTCATCTACCTAACCCTGTTACTCCGTCGGATATCATCAGAGTAGCAGTAGTCCTCGGCAACCCTCCCTATTGTCTCTATCCTCCTTATAACCATCTGGCTTCCCCCGCCTGATGCGAGGCTCTATGTTGCGATATTGACATTGATGCACTTCGGCTTCCCTCTCCATCCGCTTCCTCCTCTTCCTTCTCGTCCTCGGCCTTTTGGTTCTGCGGGCCAGAGGCATTCTAGGGTAGGCCCAGCGAGCACGCCTAGGCCTTGGGCGTTAAAAGGCCATACTACCGATACACCCGGAATATCCGTGTCCACGCCGAACGAAGCGCTACAGGGCCTTGTCTGTATATCCTTGATTCAGCTTCCTACGAGTGCGACGCCACCGAGGTTGCTATCTGCATAGGTAGTTTGGCCCGTCCGTAACTACCGAGATGTATTCCATGATGTTCAACGATGTCATGCCGGCCCCCTTCCACCCCACGCTTCCGCCGGCTCCGTCCCCAGCTCACGAAGAATCCGGGGCGCTCAAGTTTCCCGTTTATCTACTTGGGGGCCTCAGCGTGCCGTTTCGCCGTCGGCGACAAAGCCCCCGCGCAACTCGGGAGATTCCGGCTGATGAAGAATCCCCACCATCGCTGAGTACCTCGCCGATGAGCTCTGTCGTGTCGAACCCCGTTGGCAGCCTGCGGACTCGCTCTCTGTTCGTGACCCAGTCCCTCATGTCCAACTCCGGGTACGAAGACCGCTACTCCCGATCCTCCGTAGAACCCCTCAGCGCTACAAAACTCACGCAAGCCCAACCCGATACTATCCGATGCTCAACCTGTGCCAGTGACTTTGCTTTTTGTTCGCAGATCGTAAGCAAAGGTTTCACAGGGCGATATGGCCGAGCCTACCTAGTATCGCAACCCGACCAGCTCCCACCAAAGGGCGCCAAGACTAGAGACCTTATGAACATTAGGGTCGGCAAGCCTGAGACTCGCCTCTTAGTCACCGGCTCCCACGTCGTCGCGGATATCACCTGTCTCATCTGCCATACTAAGGTGGGGTGGAAATACATAGACGCAAAGGAGGAGACACAGCAATACAAAATAGGGAAGTTCATCCTCGAAACCCAACGCGTTGTCGTTTTTCGGGGCTGGGAAGACGTCGTGGTGGATGAAATGCCGGAACTTGAAGTGGATGAGAAGCAGGGATACTTCCTAGCAGGAAATGACGAGGAGCCTGTCACCTTTGATTCGGATGACGAGGACGAGTGTGAGGATCTTTTTGCTGGCATGTGGGACCCCGCAGTTGTTGCTAAGAGGAGGAACCGGAAGGTCAATAGACACCTGAAGAATAACGCCACTTAACGTGATTTTCTCTTTTAAGCGATCACGTCTGTTCGGTTGGGGTATTCCGTGTGCCCAAGAATGGATCAAGGGGGCGGGCGGGCTATCTCGACGTACGTTTATACCCAGGTTTCACATGTCTGGAGTTTTCAGGTTCTTAGGATCACTGGTGTCAGACGATCGTTGGAATTGCTTTTGGTTTAAGGCCCACGCATTGTTAATATAGTATTGATACCCTCTCGTCATAAGCATTACATGATACCGCTACTTTCTATTGGCGAGTCTCTAGGTATCTCGAGTTCCGCTACTGGCTTCGGTGCGGATGCCTTCGCTGATACCGGCGCGGGCCTCTGACCAGTGGACAATTCCAATGTAACCTAGTTGGTGAGGAAAACGAAACGAGGTAAGAAACAGTATTAACCTGTGGGATTCTGAAGGGTGCCAGACATACAGGTCCGTCGTTAACTAGGGCGACTTCCATCATCGCCTGGAATACGCCATTTTTTACCTTGCCGGGCGCATGGTCTTGTAGTATCTTGTCGAAGAAGTACTGATATAATCGCTTGGCCTCTTCCCCGCCCATCGCTCCGTGGAAGTCAGGTTTATTACCCTTCTTCGTAGACGCGAGCAGGGTAAACTGAGACACTGGCACAGAATACTTCACCATCAGATTTTCCGATGCTCATGAAAAACGGCCAAGCCCATGGTAGATTCAAACTTACCACACAGAACCTCACCGCCGATATCCCGTACGCTCTTCTTCCACTGGGGGAGACGTCAGGCGTAAACCACAAGGCACGAGTGCGTGAGGGAAGCCAAGAAGGGAGGGGGGGGTAAGACCAGTGGTGAGAGGAAGGGAGAGAAGGGGGATATGAAACTATACTCTTGCTCCAGCCTCGTCGTCCCACAGCTTCAGCTTCAGCACCTTGGCCGCGAGAGACTCCGCCTCCTTCTCTGTATCGCCGGGGGCCATCGCGGCGAAGACTAGAAGCCCCTTCCCGATGGAAGACACGACCTCCTTCTCCACTGTCACAGAGGCAGACAGCACGCGCTGCAGGATGACTATAAGGTATAGAACAAAGAATTGAACGTTGAGGTGAGGAAATGTAGAAACGCCAGTGTTGGGGGGAGGTAGAGCGGGGGAGTACCAACCTTTCATCTTGAGAGTCGGGCGGCCTACAGAACTTGGGATACCCCCTTTGACGTTACCGGATTATATGTAATTGGAGACACGTAAGTATATAAGCGATAGTAGAGTATGCATACGAGTAGCCTATATTTATAGATTCTGTAGCCATCTAAGGAAAGGGTGAATAGTTAATGGAATTACAGCTATCTACGTAGCCTTTTAGAGCCGTTTTTACGTGCCTTTTATCCCGATTAGCCCTCGCTAGGGCAGGGCTTACCCTATAGCTATACGTAACCGATTACGTACTTACGCGCCTATACGTCCTCTCAGCCTAGGTAAGGCTATCGTTAGGCTTTTAAATAACGTAAGGCCCTAATTCCGTAGTATTTTTTTTCCTTATCTCTCTATCTATATACTTATTTCGTTTAAGGAGTAAGGCTATTACGGGTCCTTTAGATATAGTAACTTAATAAACCTCTAATATTCCTTCGCTTTTAAGGGCTTCGTAAGCTTATTAGCCGCGTTCTTAGCTAATAGTACGTATTTTAGTTTAACGTATTTTTCTTTTACCTTTTACCTTACGTAATAATAGTTCTTTCGGATATATTGCTTTTATTTATTTATCGCGGTTTCTTTCGCTTATATATTCGCCGTCGTATTATCGTATTATAAGGTAATCGGGCCTACGGGTATTACGCTTAATTCCGTAAGGAAATTACGTATTTACGCGGCATCTACTACCGCCGTCGATAAGGCTATATACTCGGCCTTTCCCGAGCTTCGCGCGACTACCGACTAAAGCTTCGATATCTATACGATTAAAGCTCTTACTATAAAGAATACGTAATTATTTATTAATTTAGCTATAGAGATATCTCCCGCGTAATTCGAGTTTACGTAGCCGTAAAGACCTATCTCGTTATATTTTTTATAAGGATAACTTTCATTTAATTACCGATACCGGATCCCTTAGCTTACCGTTCCTTTAAGATATCGTATTACGCGTTTAATTCTCGTTAGATATTCTTATAAGGGGTTATTTATAAAACGCGCCTAAGTCGAAGCTACGTAACTAATATTAGGTCTTATAATATATACCGGAAAGTTCGCTTTTCTTATTAGCGAGGTATATTTTTAAACCTTTCGTAGGTCGGCTTTATCGTTAACCTCTTTCGGTACGATTACGTCCCGATTCTTTAGGTTATACGGTAACGGGTATGGCTTCGTATCGCCGTAATTAAGCTTCTTTAAAGCCTTTTCCGTATATTATTATTAATGGAGCCGGACGTTTCCCGTAAAAGACGATCGTTTTATCCGGATCCCGAAAAATTAATTAACGTTTCTTAGGTTAATTACCTTAACCTCTTCTTTAATTATATTCGCGAGTTTATAAAGTCGTTCCTTTTTAAGTCCGAATAATAGGAAATCGTTTATATACGAGGCGATTACGTTTCCTATTCCAGGTCTTATATAAATAACGTCGTTTAAGGTTAATAAAACGTAGCCGTATTTCTTTAAAATACCTCTTATACGTTATTATTACGCGGCTTTAGCTTATTTTAAGTCATATAACGGGTTAATTAGCTCGATAATCTTCGATTCGTTATAATTATAGGTTTATTTCTCTTTTTCATAGGCCTCGAAATACTCCTTTAATATAGAGAACTACTTTATAAAGATCCTTTCGTTTAGCTTTCCGTTAAGGTAAGCGGTAATAAAGTCGATCTAAAGGATATACTATTAATAAATAACGGCTAACGCTATTAGCATTCTTTACGATATTACCCTTACCGTTATCGCCTTAGTCTCGTTATAATCGATACCTTTTCTCTATATAAATCCTCGGGCGTAGATCCGTACTTTTAGCTTATCGAGATTTCCGTTAAATAAGAACTTCTTCTTTAAGACTTATTTAGCGTCGATAAGATAGCCGTTAACTATCTCGCTCGGCTATATAAACTTAAACGTATTACGTTTTAAGTTCTCTCGGATCTCTTTAAAAACGGCTTAGGTTTAAAGATTACGCTCTAGTTCCTTCATTACCCCCTTAAAGAGCGGTTCGTTTTCGTTTATCCTAAATAAGCCCGTTATTACTAATACTATCTACCTATGGCTTTACTTTTACGGTACGGTAGCAAGCGTATTAATATAATATAGCTCCTCTTAAGGCGCGTTTTTAAACGCGATTTTAAGCGTATCTTATTCGTCTTTAAATACTCCTTCTAACTCGCCCTCTTACGAGTCGTTTAACGCTAAGGCGGAACGTACCTTATCTAACTTAGGTAGTACCTTTAATATATAAATCTAGGGTAGTTTCTTCTTCAGGCGCTCTCTTCGGGAACGTATCCTACCCTTATCTTCGTTTATAACGTTTTCGTCGACGATATTATTATTCTTATTATAAACGTTAATCGCCGCGATCTTTTTCCGATACCGTAGCCGTTTCTAAACGTACTTAGGTAAGGACCTAACGACGTTCCTTAGGTCGGGAGCCCTTTCGGAGTCTCTTAGTTCTTCGTAAAAGATAACGTAAGGCGTCTTTAAGAAACGACCTCCTTTTATAAACTAGACTAGGTAGTTATACTTTCCTTCGTAACCTATAAAAACGGCGCGGGCTTTATGTAGTTTTATTTTCTCGGAAACGACCCGATAATTCTTATTAATATAAGCTACGTAATAGCTACCGACGATACGTAAATACGCGTTATTAGGTTTATAATTCTTTCCTAGCTCTATGCCGTTTATAAATCTCTCGTATGATATAAGTTTCTTTACGGACGAAACGCTAGTCTTATTAATCGTATACGCCGTTACTACGAGGACGTAGTCCTAGAAGTAAGTAGGGATCTTTATTTAAACGTAGATTACTTTAGCGTCGTTTTATAGGAAGCGTATACTTCTTTTCGTTACGCCGTTTTAATATTAATTATTTAACGTAGAGGTATTTAACGTAATGCCTTTCTCGTTATAAAATTACTCGATAGCGCTTATACTAAACTTTCGGCCGCCGTTAAGGCGTAATATTCTTATCCGTCGCCGGCTCTTATCCGGGGCGTTCGGTAATGCCTCGAGTAACTAATAGACTCGGGTAAGGTAAGTTATTAATACTTATTAAGCCTTTTCCTTAGACTTATATTAGGTAAACTCTTTATTTCTACTATCGTCGTTTACGATTAATATAAAATAACGGTAGTTCTCGATCGATAGAGGCTATAACTTTCCGAGGTCGTATTAAGTAATCTCCTTAGGAGTTTAGGTACGCTCCTAAGGATCCTTCGAGGATATCCTAGTAATCTTTACCCGATTATACGCGTAATAAGGCATCGTTTTTATAAGTACTAGATCTAGGTCGATTCCTACCGACCTTTTAATAGTTTATATAAGTCTTTCCGTATTAGGGTAATAAAGGCGGCGATACTATAGTATTAATTACTTTATAATATTATCGTCTAGCTATATTAATATCGCTTATAATATCTCGCTAAGCTTACCGAGTTAGTACCTTAGCGCGTCCCCTTAGTACCGTTTAAAGGGAAGGAGTTTCGGCTCTTCTTTCTTATATTCTTATAATAAGAAACCTCGTTTCTTAAGGTTTAAGGTCGTTAGGACGGTTCCGTTAAGGTTTATAATGTTATTCTTATTTAATTAGCCTCTGCTACGATAAAATAACTCTCCCGAGAAGATCTTAATTAAAAAGGAGCTAATAAATAACGTATAATTTAACTACGCTCGGTTATATTCTCCGTCGTCGCTAATAAGATAATAAGTAGCCTTACCTATCTTCGTAACGTTTATAAGGCCTCCTTTCGTATTAATAACGTAACCCGGTAGTAACGTTATTACCGTTCTCGGGTCTAGATCTTTTAAATCGTTCGTAACGTAAACGTTAGCTCCTATATCGAAGAATAGGTAATCCTTATAAGCGTTAGCCTCCGTTCCGTAGTTAATTCTTAAAGGCTTTACGGGCCGCTCGCCTTTTAACGAGTTAGTTATAGTTAGGTTATTACCGGGGTTAATAAGTATAGGCTTTTATTTAGGGTCCTTCTTACGGCGTAGCTCGTTATAAGCGCTTACTAGCCTAGAGAGCTTTACCGTATCTATCTTCGTTCGATATACCCTACCCCCGCTATCGTAATAACCGAATTAAGGTAACGTATACGGTACGTACGTAGTATATTACGTCGACGGTTATTTCGAACCGCTCCTTAATCCGCCGAAGGCGTTATCGCTATTATTATTACCGCTACCGCTACCCTTGCCCTTTCGTTCCTTTAGCGGTTTCGGGTAGTCCTTAGCTTTATGCCTATACTCCTTATAGTTAAAGTAAAGGGGCTCTCCTTATTAGTTCTACGAGGGCTTTTTCTTCTTATTCTTTTTCTTACCTTAAGCGTTATTAACTTAGTTATTATTATTACCGCTACTCTTATTACCATTATACTTATTAATCTTATTACGGAACTTTTCGCGAAAGTTATTAAATACGTCTAATAAGTCTATAGGTTTCGTTCTAGTTATAGTATTTACGATCTTAACCTAATTAGCTACCTTATTTTATATATAGCTAAGGAATATCGTAATTTACTACTCTTTATCGATTACGAGGCCGGTATTTATATACTAACGGACGGTTAGTTATTATTTAAACGTAAACTTTACCGGGTCCTTACCGTCGTATTTTACCTTAATAAGTTACTCTTATAGCTCTTATTAACGAGCCTTTCCTATGGAGGCATAGGTTTAATCGAATATCTTTAATATCCTCGTATTTAAACATACGCCCGCTATTAATTATAAAGGTTAACCCCGGTAGGTTCCGGCGATTACTCTCGTTAGGGATATTTCGTCTTATTCGTCGAGTTCTACTCCTTTTCTATACCTTACTTCCTTTATAAAAAGCATAAGTATATCCCGATATAAGCTTTAGTTCGAGATTCCCTTAAGATAAGCGTCCTTATCGGAATTAAAGACGAATTTCTTCTAATTGATCCTACCGTCCTTCCTAAATACGGTACCTTTATTCCTATTTCTTATCCTTCGGTTACGTCGTCTGCCGTAATCAGAATTACTATCGGAGGAGCTTCCTAATAGGCTACTTAGGCTACGGCCCCGGCGGCGGTAGCTCTTACGCCGGGTTAAACGCGAGGCACGATAATAGCGGCTATCCTCGCGGCTCCTACCGTAATCCTTACCGTA